ACTGTTCTTTACCCTAACATCATTTGTTATTTTTTAAGTTTTGAACTCAAGGCCTGTACTCACTGACTCACTGTCCCTGAGCTTTTTATCAAGGTAGTGTTTTACCATTTGAGCCATGGACCTCTACTTCCAGCTTTTTTTTTTTTTTTGTGGTGAATTGGAGATAAGAATCCATGGGCTGGGAATGTGACTTAGTGGTCTAGTACTTACCTGGCATGTGTGAAGCCCTGGGTTCAATTCCTCAGTACCACATAAACAGAAAAAGCTGGACGTGGTGCTGTGGCTCAAGTGGTAGAGTGCTAGCCTTGAGCAAAAGAAAATCAGGGACAGAGCTCAAGCCCTAGGACTGGCATAAAAAAAAAAAAGTGTCCTTCTGGGACTGGCTTCAAACCAGGATTTTCATATCTCAGCTTCCCTGAGTAGCTAGGATTACAGGTGTGAGCAACTGGTGTCTGACTACATCTGTTGTTATGGATACTCTAGTTATATTTTCATTCCTTGATCAGTTTTCCTTGATTCTTGCTGATTTTGACTTTTACATAGTCAGAGCTCTTGAAAGACAGATATAAAAACCTGAATTCACAGACTGTCCAGTTCACCTACTGAAAGTGTGTACACTTTCACTGGTTCAGTGTATGTACGGTTGTGCAACTATCCACTAAAACCAATTTTGTTATCTTTTCAGTGTTACAAATAGAAACCATTCCCATCAATAGTTATTCAACATTTTCCTATAATCCCTTTACTTACTTTTTGGTTACTTACAGTTCATATAAGTAGAATCACTGTGTGTGTGTGTGTGTGTGTGTGTGTGTGTGTGTGTGTGTGTGTGTGTGTGTGTGTGTGTGTGTGTGTGTGTGTGTGTGTGTGTCTGGCTCCTTTCACTTAGCTCTGTGTGTGTGTGTGTGTGTGTGTGTGTGTGTCTGGCTCCTTTCACTTAGCTTACTGTTTCCAGGTTTCATTAATGTATTACTAGCATCTTAATGAATTTTGTTCCTTTTGTAGGACAAACAGTAGTCCACTGTATAAAATTCTACAGGATGAACTACCTGTTTGTCCCATGATTAAGTTGTTTTCACTTCTGGGCTAGTATGCATAATGCTGTGAACATTGTGTACACATTTTGTTGTGAGTATACTCATTTGTCTTCAGTATATTCCTAGAGGTGGAATTGCTGGATTGTATAGTGTCTCTGTGTTTAACATTTTGAGGATCTATTAGACCTTCCTCAGAGGCTGTGCAAATTTATATTCCCATCAGCAGTGTTAAGGGTTCTGATTTTGCTTCTGTGCCTCCGATTATCTTAGTTTTCCTTTGGCTGTACAAGAGATTGAACCCAGGGCCTTGTGATGGTAAGCAGACCTTCTTAACTACACAGAGCTACCCCTCCTGCCCATTTTCTGTTTTTTTGTTTTTTGTTTTTTTTTTTTGAGGCAAGATTTCACATTAGAACTCCCGCTAATGTTGAACTCCACTAGGGAATCACTGTCTTTTCGACTGTAAGCTTTGTAGTGAATAGAAATAAAGTTGTTATGTGTTTTTCTTTTAATATTGATTTTCATTTCCCTAAGGATTAATGTTGAACATCTCTTCAAATGATTATTAGTGATTTTGTATCTTGTTCATGTTGCTGGTCAGATTCTTTGCCTGATTTTAGATTGATTTACCTTCGTATTACTAAATTGTTAGAGTTCATTTTAAAATTTGGCTTGTATCATTTGTAGAGGGGAGGAATTTCATTGTTACATCCCCACAATTTCACACTATATTCTAATCAATTTCACTTCCTCTGTGCATTTCCTACCCTTCTCCAAACAATATTATCTCAGACAGGTTACCTTGTTCTGTTTAAGTAGTTGCAAATAATCTATTTCAACAATATTAACCTTTATTCTCTCAGTTAGCATACTCCCCTCTCCTTACTCCTCACTGGCCTACAGTCTGTTTGTCCTCCACCCTATCTACCCATTGATTATCAGCTTTTGTGAATTTCTCTAGACTGTTTTCATAATATGCAGAGTGTCCCAATTATTCATTTTATTGTTTCATTCTCTTTTCCTGCTCCTGCTAAATAGTCTCCTTAGCTTGATTCATGTTCTGTGTTCAACCATCTAAGCAATTAGGTATGTAGATAAGTTTTTATACTTAACGTGCATTGGCTTGTCTCAATATGATGTCTTCTAGTTGTATCCACTTTTGTACAAATGACAATTTTATTTTTATTTAATAATCTCTAATATGTATATACATATGTCTATATGAATGCATATGTCTATACACAAATTTTCTTTGTATATTTTCATACTCAATACAAGTTCCTCATTATGTATATGATATGTGAATATTTCATTCTACACTTTCTTTCTTTCTTTTATTATTGTGAAAATACCATTTGTTTTGTTGTCACATCCCTGGTTTTGTGCCAGTGCGATGACTGTCTTGGTTACTTTAATTTTGTACTCAGTTTTGAAATTAGGGCATGCAACTCTATTTTTTTCAAGTTTCACCTTCAACTTTTTATATATATATAAAAATTTGGGACCCTTGCATTTTCATATAAATTTTTGTATCATTTTCTTAATTTCCTGCAAAACAAAACAGAGGGGTTACACTTACATGGGCAAGATAGTACATTTCTTATCAAGCATTGTTGCCTCCTCTGTTTCCCCTTACCATCCCTACCCCTCTCCACCCCCCACCCCCCACACCCTACTATCCCCTCACCCCCCCCCCCCCCATTCTACATTTTCTTGGTGATATCATTAGGGTACATTTTAAAATTTTGGTAGACTTCTTTTTCCTTGTATTTTAGAATTGCTTTGAGAATACTTGCTGAACTCAAGGTCATTTGTTCTGATATTTTGTGAGTTGTCTTTTTCTCATGACGTTCTACTGCTTGAGCCATCCCTCTATTTCCTATATATGGATATTTGTTTTGTTGTCACATCCCTGGTTTTGTGCCAGTGCGATGACTGTCTTGGTTACTTTAATTTTGTACTCAGTTTTGAAATTAGGGCATGCAACTCTATTTTTTTCAAGTTTCACCTTCAACTTTTTATATATATATAAAAATTTGGGACCCTTGCATTTTCATATAAATTTTTGTATCATTTTCTTAATTTCCTGCAAAACAAAAAGGTCAGGTAGAAGTTGGGCACCAGTGGCTCATGCTTGTAATTCTAGCTACTCAGGAGGCTGAGATCCTAGAATGAGCATTTAAAATCAGCCCCCAGAGGAAAGTCCATGAGATTCTTATCTCTAGTTAACCAACTCCAAACTGGAAATGGAGCTGTTACAGGCTCAAAGTGTTAGAGCACTAGCCTAGAGCAAAAAAGCACAAAGACAGTTCCCAGGCCCTGAATTCAAGCCCTATGGCCAACAAAAAAAATAAATAAAAATAAAAAAGGCAGGTAGACTGTTAATACCAATTAAACTGAGTTTATAGATAAACTCTTTTTTTAGAACAGTGTTCCAGTTAGGAAGTTGAAATATCTTTTTCATTGATTTTAGGATTTTAATTTCCTTCAGCAGTATTTTGTCCTTCTCAGAGTACAATTTTGTACTTATTTTGTTAAGGGTTTTCAGAAGTCTAATCCTTCACATATTTGTAAATGGAATTGTTTATTTGATTTAATTTTCATGTTATTACTGGTATAGTGAAATACAACTGATTTTGTATTCTGTCTTGTATACTATTTCATTGAACTTGTGAATTAATTTCTAACAGGTTAATGGATGCCTTGCATTTCCTAAGTACACAATTATGTCATATATTTTTTTTTTTGCTTTCTAATTTGAATACCTTATAGATTTAGTAAGATTTTCCAATACAGTGTTGAATATGTAATGAGGGAAGGTAACTTTTTCTTGTCCTTGCCCTGAAAAAGCATACAGTGTTTAACAATTATTAGGCATGAAGTTAACTGTGATGAGTTTTTCCTAGATACTATTTATGAGGAGATTGAGGAAATTCCTTTTTATTTTTAGTTTATTATGTATTTTCTTTGTTAGTGCATTTGTTTGGGATAGGTTTTTTTCTGTGTAGCCCAGGCTTGCCTCTTTTTGTCCTTGAGTGCTGGGATCACAGTTGATATTTTTAACAGCATTTCTTGAGTAGGCTTTTATCTTTGCGGGGCACCAGTAGCTTACACTGTTACACTTTAACAGCTACAGCTACTCAGGAGGCTGAGATTTGAGGATATTGGCTCAAAGGAGCCCTGGCGGTAAAATCCTCCAGACCCTTATCTCTTAGTTGACCACCAAAACTGGAGGTGGAACTGTGACTCAAGTGGTAGAGTGCTAGCCTTGAGTAAAAACTCTCATGGATAGCATTCAGGCCTTAAGTTCAAGCCCAGGACTGGCACAATATATAAATATATATATATTACTTTTGGTAGCAGATATGATGTCAAGAGGTAATTGTCAATAAGTAAGAGCATTACTCTTTCCGTTCTTTTCTGCTCTTACCCAAGGATAAAATTGGGTGCTAGTATGTGGTAAACAGTTATAACTGCAATCTTATTTTATAATAATAGCAGATATACAATAATAGGCCAATGGTATTTTTTGTTTGTTTTGCTTATGTTGAGATAGTATATCATTATGCACTCTAGGACTGTCCTGTGTAGCTCCGGGGAACTTGAACTCATGGTTTTCTAGCCTCTACCTTGTCTGGCATTGGTGTTTAATCACAACTTAAGAACTTTGGATTTTTTGTATGTGTGATCTCCCAGTCCCCAATTTACTAGTGTCTTATTTATGAAGTAATATTTTATAGGCAGTTTCCTTTAAAGAAAAAATGATTTCTATAAATCATTTTACATTTCAAAATGGTTTTAAGTTTGGAAAGAGCATGGGTGGTATGTAGAAAAGGTAGAAATTGGTTAGAAACCAGAAGAGGTAAAAGAAGTAAAAGATTATTTAAGACAGAAGCTTTTCTCTCCGTTTGGGTTTTTTATTATGTCAAATATATATTCAGGTATGTTCACATATCATTGCAGGTTTCCATGGATCTCAACAGTGCCAGCACTGTAGTTCTTCAGGTCTTAACACAGGCTACTAGTCAGGATACTTCTGTTTTAAAACCAGCTGAAGAACAGTTGAAACAGTGGGAGACACAGCCAGGTTTCTATTCAGTGTTGCTGGTAAGTTGTTCCAAAGTTCTTTATTTTTGATATGAGGAAACACTATTATTTTAATAGTTCTATAATAGCCTACCTTTTGTGATATTTTAGTTAACCTGATCCAAGTGTTTTGCTGCCATTGACTACCAACATCTTTTTAAGACATGGCTTATTGAGAGTATTTAAGAAAATTGTTGGTGGATTAACATTTGGGATCTTTCCTTTACCCTGTATTTTAATTATTACTCTTGACAAAAGAAGCCATTTGCTTTGGCTATATATTTTATGGGTTAGTGACTTTCATACATTCACTGTCTGAATGTAACATTCTGTGTAAATAATCGAACGAAGTATTTGTAGTATTTGTTCAGAAGACCCACTTGGATGATTTTTCAATTTTAGCACATGAATGCTGACAGGAATATTGGTTGTACATTTTCATATTTTGTCCTTAGTCTAGTTAATTTATATTATTTGTGTTGTTCTGGTTTCTATTTCAGTATTGGGTTCAGAATATCATGCTCAGTATTTTTTTTTTCTTTTTCTTCAGCGCTCACCACGGAGGCATAACCCCCTTCACATGATTTCATTTAAAACATTATGTTCTTTTAAAACATTATTTCATTTAAAACATTATCTTCTACCGTCTAAAAATTTCATCTGTTGAAATACCAAAACTTTTCCTTATGGGAAATTAGCATAATAGTTATGAACAGTATATACTTTAAACTGTTCTTATTTAAAGTCTTTGATTAATTAATCAAAATAGTTTTCTCAGTGCCAGAATAAAATAAGCCTTCTTGTATTGAGAGCTTTTCCTCTTAAATTCTTCTGAAAATTGAGAACCTTGATTGATGTTTGCAATTTTATTTTTGTTGAAGGTCATGACAAGTGAGTCAAAACTGACCCTGGATTTGTGCCTGGGTTACAATTCAGGGCAAAATTGTTAACTTGTAAAATAGAATAATATTGTCATTGACATACATGTTTTTGACTTCGTGGCTGAGAAGTTTGAATTGTTCATTAAAAATTGAAAAAGATACTGATCATGACTCTGGGGGAAATTAAGTGCGTAGACTCATTGGTATTCTAAGATGAAAGTTGGTTTAGTAACAGGTAAATAAACAGATTGATTTTAAATAACATTTAAGAAAATGCCATTGTTCTTACCCACATAATCCAGTATCATGTTTGTAAAATTGAAGCATAATATAAATTTCTAGAAAATCGCTAAATGCTTTTACTCTTTATGCTTTTATTTAAATGAATATTCCCTCTGGCTGCAGGTGTCTCTCAAGTGGTAAAGTACTAGCCATGAGTGAAAGAAACAGGCCTTGAGTTCATGCTTCAGTACTAGCACATCCTAAAAAAAATACAAAAGAATGCATATACTTTAATTATCCTTATACTTTTTCACTAAAATATAAAATGTTTTTAGAATTTTTCATCTTAGTTATTTTTGTACCTTTCAAATTAATAGACTTCCTGACTGTGTATTTTCTGTGTGTGTGTGTGTGTATGTGTATGTGTATATGTGTATATGTGTATATGTGTATGTGTATGTAGGATGTAAGATTATATTTGCTTGTTTCTGAGTTTAATTTTTTTTGGGGGGGTCTGGTCGTGGGGCCTGAACTCTGGGCCTGGGTGTTGTCCCTCAGCTCTTCAGCTCAAGGCTAGCACTCTACCACTTGAGCCACAGTGCCACTTCTGGCTTTTTTCTTTTTGCTTATGTGGTGCTGAGGAATCGAACCCAGGGCCTCAGGCATGCAAGGCAAGCACTCTACCACTGAGCCACCTTCCCAGCCCTTAATTTTTTTTTTTTTTTTTACTAATTTTCAACCATACCTACAAGTAGAATAGCATAATAAGTTTTCATGTTTATTAATTACTCAACAAATTCTTTTTTTGGTCCGGTCGTGGGGTCTGAATGCTGGGCCTGGGCGCTGTCCCTCAGCTCAAGGCTAGCGCTCTACCACTTGAGCCATAGCACCACTTCTGGCTTTTTTTTTTCTGCTTATGTGGTGCTGAGGCATTGAACCCAGGGCCTCATGCATACAAGGCAAGCACTCTACCACTGAGCCACCTTCTCAGCCCCTACTCAACAAATTCTTATTCAGACTGGCTTGAACTCATAATGTTCCTCACTCAGACTCCTTATTTCTAAGACTTTAGGCATATGCACCACATTTGATTATATAGGCATGCTTCATTGTATGAATTATAGAAGCACATGTATTTAGAAAATACAAATGTGATATATATGTATGATATATATATGTATCTATATATATATGTATCTATATAGATACATATATATAGATAGATGAGATGTCTTTTTAACTGGTATTCGGCTTGAACTCAATGGCTTCAAGGTAGGTTAGCTTGCTTGCTCATCACTGGTGCTTTATATAATGATACTACTTAAAACATTTAATTTATGTTTATCCATGCTTTATAGTGGGTATATTAATATACTTCAAAATGATTTCATTTTTATTCTAATATTTTTTATTCACAGAATATTTTCACCAACCATACTTTAGATATAAATGTAAGGTGGCTTGCTGTGCTCTACTTTAAGAATGGAATTGATCGTTACTGGAGACGTGTAGCACCTCAGTAAGTTCCATGAGTCCCCCATTGTATTACTTTCCAAACTCAAGAAGGATAATAATGAACCCATTCATGGAAAGAATTAGTGCTTATTATATATACTCTTACTTACCTTGTTGGCTTTATACCACTTGACCCATGCTCCTATCCCTGTTTTTTGCAGGTTAATTGGAAATAGAATCTTACAGACTTTTTTACCCAGGCTGCCATCAATCTGTGATCTTTTGATCTCAGCCTCTTGAGTAGTTAGGTTTATGGGTGTGAACCACTGGTGCCTTGCTCTTTTTTATTTATTTGTGAAAGAACTGGTCTCTTTGATTACCAAGTGTTCAAGTAGTGGAAATGATTTACATGTTTGCCCAAACCAATTAGTCTCATATTTAAGTGTTTTTATTGTTAGGTGACCTTTTTTTGTGATCAATTTATCTTTTGTAGTGCTCTCTCAGAGGAGGAGAAATGTACATTGCGTGCAGGGCTCATCACCAACTTCAATGAACCAATAAACCAGGTTAGTGACAAAATGAATTATTCTCTCAACTTTCTCTTCTTTACTATATCTACTTTGTTTCATGATATTAACCAATGAAATATTACATCATTACTTTCATTTGTGATACTTATGCATAACCTCTCTACTGGTTCTTAAATGTTGAGGTCCTCTTGGCTGTTAAGAACTTTGGTTATCTGGGTATGGTAGCTTATGTCTGTAATCTTAGCAAATCTTATCACATTACTAGGCCAGCCTGGGGAAAAAGATCACTCAACTCTATATCGACGGACAGGAGCTGGATGTAGGGCACATACCGCTACTGGGAGAAGCATAAAATAGAAGAACATTCAATCCAAACCAAAACCAAGACTATATCTCAAAATAACCAGTACAAATGGGGCTGTAGGCATGGCTCAGTGGCATCTGCCTAGCAAGCACAAGGCCCTGAGTTCAAAGCCTGATACTGTCCCATCGTCTTCTAAAAATTTTTTTAGTTATATTTGGCTGTTTATTAATTAAAATATAGAAGTTATTTCACAGTGTATTTGTAAACTTTTAACTTTCTCGGTTTTGTTGTTATCTTGGGGCTTGAACCCTGGCTCTTTCCCTGAGATCTTTTGCTCAAGGCTAGTATTCTACCACTTTGAGCTATAGCTCTACTTCTGGTTTTTCTGGTGATTAATTGGAGGAAAGTCTCATGGACTTTCCTACCCAGGCTGGCTTCGAACTGTGACCCTCAGATCTCAGCCTTCTGAGTAGCTAGGATTATAAGCATGGGCTATTGGTGCCAGGCATCTTCCTCAGTTTTGTTTTGTTTTTTTTCTGTCAGTCGTGGGGCTTGAACTCTGGGCTTGGGCGCTGTCCCTGCACTCTTCAGCTCAAGGCAAGCTCTCTACCGCTTGAGCCACACCACAGCACCACTTCTGGTTTTCTAGTGGTTTATTGGAGATAAGAGTCTCATGGACTTTTCCTGCCTGGGCTGGCTTTGAACTGTAATCCGCAGATCTCAGCCTCCTGAGTAGCTAGGATTACAGGCGTGAGCCACTGGTACCCAGCTTCTTCCTCAGTTTTTAGGCTGGTATTTCAAGCAAATCTTTAAATAATGGTAGTCTTACTCAGTAGAAACTGACTTTATTTATTGAACATTCCTGACAGTACTTTAATTTCTTCTATTTATTTATGATGATTGATTTTTTTCTCCCTCTAGATTGCAACTCAGATTGCAGTACTGATTGCAAAAGTTGCTCGGTTAGATTGTCCTAGACAATGGCCTGAATTGATTCCCACTCTTATAGAGTCTGTTAAAATCCAAGATGATCTTCGACAGCACAGAGCATTACTTACCTTCTATCATGTTACCAAGACACTGGCATCTAAACGACTGGCTGCTGATAGAAAACTGTTTTATGATGTAAGTTGTTCAACATAGTTATTTATTTTTTAATGAAAAAGAAGGTTTATTTAGTCCATAGTTTTGGATTTTTAGCCCAAGGTTGAATAACCCCATTAGTTTGGGTTGGAGGCAAGGAGATATATCATGTCTGCAGCACATGTCAGAGGAAGTACTCATAGCTAAAGTCAAGAAGCAGAAAGAGAGCCCTAGGTCCATCATCTCCTTCGGTGGCTAAGGACTTTCCACTAGGCCTTACCTTGAGTGTGTGTGTGTGTGTGTGTGTGTGTGTGTGTGTGTGTGTGTGTGTGTGTGTGTGTGTGTGTGTGTATGTGTGTGTATGTGTGTATTGTAGAGTTGGGCACTGCCTCTGAGCCACAGAGTTAAATTTGATTCTGGAGACATTGCTATTTGTATGAAAGTAAATACAGCTTTACTTCTCGGTTCATGCTTCATTGAATAAATTCTAATTGTGAACTGTGAAGTGATGCAAATACAGTTGATTGATAGCAAACAGTTTGAAAGCAGAGACACTCTTTGAGATTATTGAAGTACTTCAGATAACATAATCTTTTAAATGAATCTATGGTGAGCAATAGGAAGTAGAGTTAATGTAAGTGATCCATACAGAAATACCACTAGGGAAGGGTGGGTATTCCTTTATTAGTTGTTGAGCCACTATGTTTTGGATCCACTTTCTTTACTCCAATCCATGGCTTTGGTACTTTTGACTGTTTTTTACTTTATAAAAGAGTGATTAAAAAATTATTATTGGGCTAGGAAGGTGGCATAGTGGTAGAGCTCTTGCCTTGCATGCATGAGGCCCTGGGTTCGATTCCTCAGTACCACATAAGCAAAAAGAAAAAAGACAGAAGTGGTGCTGTGGCTCAAGTGGTAGAGCGCTAGCCTTGAGCTGAAGAGCTGAGGGACAGCGCCCAGGCCCAGAGTTCAGGCCCCACGACCGGACCCAAAAAGAAAATTATTATAGAGGTGATGTACAGAGGGGTTACATTTACATGAGTTAGGTGATGAGTACATTTCCTTTTATTTAGTGTCATCAGTTCCCTCATTCTCTCCTAGTCCCTCCCTCTGTCTCTACCTATGAGTCACTGATGTCTAGTGAACTCCACTACTGTTACTTTCTTGCTTTTTCTTGTGTTCTGTACCCTCCTTTCTACCCTCTCAAAGATATACATGTGAATACACCTTATATAAGGTCAAGAAGACAGAATCATCAGAAGAGGAAAAAAATTTTGAAGTCTTTACTTCCATATCTTAGGAAGAGGTGCTTAAGCACTGCACCTTTGTGATTCTCTCCTAAGACTATCCTCTTTAGGTCTCACCATTTGTGAGCATTGAGAATCCTGTGTAATAAGTGATTTTTATATTGCTTATCTTAACGTGTGGGCTGTATAATGTAATACTTGTAGATCACAGTTTTTGTTAGTGTTTTTGCTTATCTTTGGTAATTTTGGACTGCTGAAGATATATGCTTTGAGATCTTATTATGTGATTATATGGTAAGGCTCAAGAAACTATTTAAGTTGTTGATAATGCATGCTTTCCAGAAAAGATACAGTAGAAGAGTTTTTGTAGTTTATAGGTGTGAGCCACCTGTGCTTGTCCTGATTTGGTTCTTTTTGTAATCCCTTTTATTTATTTATTTTTTGTGGACTCTTTGTTAACATTTTGTTCTGTGGATTACTTTGTCCTGGGTATACTGCCTTTTCTTTTCTTTCTTTTTTTTTTTAATCGGTCATGGGCTTGAACTCTGAGCTTGGGCGTTATCCCTCAGCACTTCAGCTCAAGGTGAATGCTCTACCGCTTGAGGCACAGCGCCACTTCTGGTTTTCTAGTGGTTTATTGAAGACAAGAGTCTCATGGACTTTCGTTGCCCGGGCTGGCTTTGAACTGTGATCCTCAGATCTCAGCCTCCTGAGTCGCTAGGATTACAGTTGTGAGCCACCGGCGCCAGGTCCTATACTGCCTTTTCTTTGAGAATGGTTTAAGGAAAGGTGGAGGGAGATGAACATTGTATAATCTTGGACTTTCAGATCTTCTATGTTTACATTAGTTTTTGACAGGTGTAGTATACATACATATAGTCCCAGCTACTCAGGAAGCCTAGTTAGCTATATCACTTCAGATCAGCCTGGGCAAAATAGCAAGAACTGAAGCTGGTGTGAACTACCTATGCCTGACTAAACCATACATTTTTTTTACTGGTGGTTTGTTTGAAAATGAATATTGCAGATTGTATTTTAGCTATATCTCAAAAAGCTTTTAAGGTAGCATTGGGTGTGTGTGTGTGTGTGTGTGTGTGTGTGTGTGTGTGTGTGTCTTTTTCTTTCTTCATACCATTGGTGTGTGTGTGTGTGTGTGTGTGTATCTTTTTCTTTCTTCATACCATTGGCTTGAAGAAAACTAGTTCTTGTATCTTCTGGAGTGTCCTACCTTTTATACTTTTGATTGTGTATATGGCTGATTAGATAAAGACTAAAGCATGTTTTGGTGCATATAACTTATTGTATTGGTACTAGTGACATTACATGGCTGATTAAAACTTTTTTGTATTAACTTTTTCATAAGGGAAAGTAGTGAGAGCAGTGGTCCTTAAGTTAAAAATATTTAAGAATATCCAAGATGTTGAAATAAATCAATCTTAATTAAATGGTTTGCTTTTTATACAGAGTCTGAATTCTTTTTCAGTTAAAGTCACCCAGCAGCCAGTGGGTGGCACTGTTTCTCCTGGTTTAGAAATAGAAAATGAAGTATTATAGGTTTACATAGTGTTTTGTTAGTTTGTTTGCATATTATCTTACTGATTTTCTCATTTTTTTTTTTTTGGTCGGTTGTGGGGCTTGAACTCTGTGCTTGGGTGCTGTCCCTCAGCTCTTCAGCTCAAGGCAAGTGCTACGTGCTGTACCACTTGAGCCACAGCACCAATTCCAGTTTTTTCCATTAAATTGGAGATAAGAGTCTCATGGACTTGCCTGCCTGGGGTTGGCTTTGAACCATGATCCTCAGATCTCAGCCTCCTGAGTAACTAGGATTACTGGTGTGAGCCACTGGCGCCTAGCTGTCTGATGTTTTTGTATAGTGCTTAGCTCCAAAACTGAAATAGGAAATATGGAATATACCTGTAGGTCATAATACTATTTCTTTATTTCTGTATTGAGTTCAATAATTTATTGAGAAATATGTTACATAACATCATGTTTATACATTTTTCTTAACCGTTCTCCTTATCCAAGGTACTACTTTCATTCTAAGAATTACTTTTCAAGGCCAGTAAGAGAAAGAATACATCAAGATCTAATATTACCATTAATATTTTTAACCCTTTTATTATTTATTTATATTGAGATGCTGTCTCTGTATGTGGCCAAAGCCTTGAACTGTGATCTTCCTGCCTCAGCTTGGGATACAGACCAGTGCCATTACACGTAGCAACAGTTGTGTGTGTGTGTGTGTGTGTGTGTGTGTGTGTGTGTGTGTACATGCGTGCGCGCGCACACGCGCTTCTTTATTTCTGTTTTTTTTAAAGTAGGGATCAACTAGCCAGTGGGCTTCTATCTACTTGGGAGATTGAGAACTGAAGAGTTAGAGTTGGACTTCAGTTCATAGATCTCTTCTCGATTTTTTAGCTGCGTATGGTGGCACATGCCTGTAAGGGTAGGATTGAGAGGGTTCAGGTTTCAGGCTGGCTTGTGCATAATGGAGGGCAGTTGGTCCTGATGGCACATGCCTATAAACCTCGCAACAATGGAAAGCATAAAGGAGGGGGATTGCAACTCAGATATGTGCCCTGGTGAAAAGAACATCCTATCCTAAAATTGTGCTGAAGGAGTGGCTCTACAATATCACGCAAGTGTAGCAAGGTGGAAGCTCTGGCTTCGGATCGTAGTACTGCCAAAAGAAGAAAAAAGAATGAAAATTTCCAACACTGAAGAAAATTACTTCAGGTGGAATGAATCTTAACAATTACCAAACTTCCTCACATTTGTATGTAGAGTCAAATGACAAAGATTTCATGAAACAAAAGTGCTTTATTACTAAATATTTTGATTCTATTGTGATAAAAATTATTATATGGTAGAACAGTTGAGAGAACAAAGAAGCCACCACTTAAAAGGCCAAATTTGGAGTATTTGTTGGCACGCTAGTGGTAGGGCTTTGTGGCTGGAGCCCCTGCTACCTGCTAGCACTCAGTAAAGATTCCAAATTTGGCCTTTTACGTAGTAGCTTCTCTGGCCTCATGACTGGATCTATCGTACAAAAGAATGTTCCTTTTATGGTAATCTTGTGACATTAGGAACCTTTCTACAATATTCAGAGATGCTCTTCAATATTTTTGTTTGGGGATGATTTTATAGTTACTATAAATATAATTTTTACCTTATAATTTATACTCTTTGCATGCAGGTAGTGGGTTCTGTAAAATAATGCTTTACTGGTACCAGAAGTAGATCCTGAAAAATGACAATTGTTAAAATAATTCTGTCCTTTTACTTCATTATAAAATATTTTTAAAAGTAAATCTGGCATGATTTAAAAATACTATGGTTGTGATAATGGAGTATAGTTTTTTTCTTTTTGTCATGATAGGAAAATCTTGCAAAGAATAGAATAAAAGGGCATAGGCTCAACTTCTTTAAGAAGTTGTTAAAGAATGTATTCCTATATTTCCTATTTTTTTGTAGTTATAAAAGGAAATTTTTATCACAATTCAGTTGTGTAGTTTTTTTTTGTTTTTTTGTTTTTTTTTTGGTCGGTTATGGGTCTTGAACTCTGGGTCTGGGTGCTGTCCCTCAGCTCTTCAGTTCAAGGCGAGCACCACTTGAGCCACAGTGCCACTTCTAGGTTTTCTGGTAGTTAATTGGAGATAAGAGTCTCATGGATTTTCCTGCCTGGGCTGGCTTTGAACTGCAGTCTGCAGATATCAGCCTCCTGAGTAGCTAGGATTATAGGCGTGAGCCACTGGTGCCCAGCTGTATAGTATCTTTATCCTAAGAGTTCATATTTTTGTACAAATAATGTAAATCTCTTATTCAAGTACTATATTTACTTGCTAGTTACTATTGAGGAGGTGTGTTTTCATTTGGACAAGCTACTCTACCATTTTATGTCTCAATTTTTTTTCCCTCACTTGGAGACAGGGGAAAGACCCTGTGTAGCTCGGGCTGGGCATTCATCAGTGTAAAATATGCTTATTGCTTACTTATTACTGAGCATTGTGGCTAAAATGTTTGAAACAGTGCTGTATATTTACTTATTTCAGAAATCACTAGAAATATGTTCTTATTTGTAAAGCCAAAATGTATTGTTTTATAGATTTAATTTATTTTTTTGGGGGGGGTCTGGTGGTGGGGTCTGAACTCTGGGCCTGGGTGCTGTCCCTTAGCTCTTCAGCTCAAGGCTAGCGCTCTACCACTTGAGCCACAGTGCCACTTCCAGCTTTTTTCTTTTTGCTATGTGGTGCTGAGGAATCGAACCCAGGGCCTCATGCATGCAAGTCAAGCGCTCTACCACTGAGCTACCTTCCCAGCCCCTATAGATCTAATTTGTTACTGAAACATATATGTTGTGAATAAATTTGTACTATTTCTTTGCAGTTAGCTTCTGGAATTTACACTTTTGCCTGTTCTCTGTGGAATCACCATACAGACACATTTCTGCAACAAATTTCTTCTGGCAATGAAGCTGCAGTTCAAAGTTCATTAGAACGAACATTATTATCATTAAAAGGTACTAGTATACTCTATATATTAATAAGTTTAATCCATTTATTGCATATTTCAGAAGTCACCAGATACTTCCTTTGACTGGATTTCTGTTTTGATTGCACTAGGATTCATTTTTTCCTGAAAGACAAAAGCTTTTCTTTTGTGAGGATAGCTCTTTTTCTACTTTGATTTAAAATAGAAAAGTACCAACACTCAGTTGAAGTGGATAAGTTCTATTACCCACTTCATTTTCCTCATGCCTCTGAATATGTTCTTTTTGTGTGTGTCTTTACTTTTTATTTCCATCTTTACTCATTCTAGGTATTTACACTTACTCATTGTCCTGTTAACTGTCTTAAAATTCTGAAGGTTTGACTGAGCTCTAGGCTTCCAGTTCACCTTTCCCCAAGGAATACTTTGGCTCTGTGAAATGACATCTTGGCCTTTGCCTTTCTATATCCTGCTAACTAGTATTCCATACCATAATATTTCCATTTCACCTTCCAACAGTTTTTTTTTGTGTATGTACTGAGGCATCAATTCAGGCCTGGACACTGTTCCTCAGTTCAAATCTGGCACTCTACTACTTGAGTCACAGCTCTACTTCTGACTTATTGATGTTTAATTGAAAATAAAGAGTCTCACAGACTTCTCTGCCCAAGCTGGCTTTGAACCTTCATCCTCGGATCTTAGCTTTCTGAGTAGCTAGGATTGAGACACCAGCGTCCGGCTTCTGAATTACTATCTTAATGATTATTTTCTGACGTTCCTTTGATTTCTAAAACATACACATTTGTTTCTTTCTCTTAGTCCCTGTTATAGAATCAGTTCTGGTTGCTAAGACCCTTTTAGTTTTTTTTATTAGTATTATTAGTCTCATACAACTTTTCTTTATAGTATGGCCCATTTTTTATTTATGGACATAGTTTTATTGTAAATAAAAAGCTATGTTATCAAACTTACTGTTTGTTAAACCTTGAAATCCTACCACATACTGTTGGCACTAGCTTAATATGTCTCTTGTATTAACCATAGTAAAATCCCCTATCCTGTGAGTATTCAGTGTACAGAAATTTTGTTGTTATCAGAATCTCTCCAGGCTTCCCCCTCATCCTGGTGCTGAAGGTAAGTGCAGGGCCTTGAACATGGTTAGCAAGCACATTACTACTTCACTTATACTCCCAACCCTTTTGCTTTTTAATTCACGTTTAAGTTGAAGGTCTGACTGTTTTTGTCCAGGCTGGTCTTGAACTTACAAGACACCTGCCTGTGCCTTCTGAGTCACTGTGATCACAAGTGTGTGCTGCTACACCTGTTTGTCACCATCTTTAAGGAAAAGATTTAATTTCTTGCAGAGAAATTCTATTTAAAAAAGAATTCTATTTAAAAAAGAATTAGAAGTTGATACAAGGCTATATACAAAATTGTGCATAATGCTATATTTAGTGGTTAAGGAATTTTCAGTACTTTAGATTTAAGTCTGTTTTATGTTGTTTAAATGTCTTTCTGTCTCAAAGTGTTAAATACCTACTAACTTTTCTTTAAGGCACTTTGCCCTAGAATATGTTACTTTTGCAAATATATGTAGGACCAGAGTTTTGGTTACATGTTATCTGACTATATTTATATCCATGTGTATTTATTCTGAGGAGACATGAGACATATAATAAAAAGACCATATGAATATGTGGAAAAGGACAACTTTGAAAGCTACCTCATAGTGTTATGATAACTGATGATAGGGTCAGAAAAAAATTTGTCCGAGATGATAGTTGAACCATTATCTTAAAAGAGAAGTGCAAGTTAAATAACAATAAAAGATAAAGAGGATGTATTCCCCAGGTAATATAAACCAAGATCCTGCTGTAATAAACTGTAGATCCAGATTAAGGGACTCAACTTTGACCTGTACTTTTTCCTATAATGATATAGTTATTTCTGAGTTGTAGATGATAGATGGTTTCTTACTGAAGGACAATTTTATGAACATTTGTACGCTAACCTTGTTTTAATACCCTGATTTTAGACTTCACCATATGAACATTAATAGTAATTTTTAGGATAATTTTTCAGTAATACAAATAGCAATAGTTATTTAAATTTTTGTCCCATCTTGTCAATATGCTTATTATTATGAAATTGTTTTAAGTTTACAGTTATTATGCTATTCAGTCCTTTAAGAAATATTTATTAACCATATGAAGAAAGTGAGATCTAGCAAATTTGTCCAAATAATTCAGATAAAGATAGTATAGAAAAGATTTAAACTTATTTCTGACTTCAAATGTTGCTCTATATGTCTCTTTATGCACACTAGTTTTTCATAAAACATAATGTTTATGATTGAGCACTATAGTCTTCCATATTTGGAAATTGTTTAAATTTTATATCCCTTTTAGAGCATACTAAATTTCCATGTGAGCTAAAACTAAATAAAGGTGTTTAGTTATTTCTAAAATTAATAGAAGTGACAATTTTAATTTTAACTATTTTAGAGAAGTATTAGCAATTGTATAAGCTGAACTAAATTTGCTGTGGTATATGAGGCAACATAATTTTTGTAAGTCAGAAGAACTGAGTTTGTTCTGTCTTTCCCATTCATCCAAATGGCCAAGGTTACCTTTCTTTATGAAATGAGAGGAGTAAGCTTGCTTGAGTTTGTGATTCTGAGATTTTATTATAACTGATTATAGTAGGACAAAATATGAAGAAATAAGCTTGCCTTTACTTTTCAGTACTGCGTAAGTTAACTGTTAATGGATTTGTGGAACCTCACAAGAATATGGAAGTGATGGTAAGTAATACAAGTAATTTATTCTTTGTACTTTGGGGCAGTGTTTGACATTTTCATGACTTGGAGTCTGTGCTCTTGCTTGGCTTTTTCAATCACAGCTGGAGCTCTACCACTTGAGCCATACCTCCAGTCCAGTGTTTTGCTGATTAATTGACGATAGAGTCTCACCAGACTTTCCCTATCTGAGTTGACTTTGAATTGTAATCCTCAGATCTCAGCCTCCTGAGTAGCTGGGATTATAGGCATGAGCTACCAGTGATTGGTACAAACTTGAATTTTGTGGATAGTTTTCTCATTTTTGTTATATTGTTATAAGTTGTGATTTTTCATAATTGTATGGTATATCTATATTATAAACTGTCAGTGGAGTGGCTGGGAATATGGCCTAGTGGTAGAATACTTGCCTATCATGCATGAAGTCCTGAGTTTGATTCCTCAGTACCACATAAAAAAAAAAAAGCAAGAAGTAGCAGTGTGGCTCAAGTAGTAGATTGCTAGCCTTTAGCAAATTAAGCTCAGGGACAGTACTCAGGCCTTGAGTTCAAGCCTCAGGATTGGCAGGAAAAAGAAAATAATGTCAGTGAACTAATTTTTTTGTTTGAGGGGGGGTCCGGTCGTGGGCCTGAACTCTGGACCTGTTTGCTGTCCCTCAGCTTTTCAGCTCAAGGCTAGCGCTCTACCACTTGAGCCACAGTGCCACTTCCGGCTTTTTTCTTTTTGCTTATGTGGTGCTGAGGAATCAAACCCAGGGCCTCATGCATGCAAGGCAAGCACTCTACCACTGAGCCACCTTCCCAGCCCCTAATTTTTTAAAAAGAGAAATTAGTACAGGATTTTTATTTGTTACTTTCATAAAATGTTGATAGACTTACATGTTTGCAATTTTTAGTTGTTGATAAGAGATTCTTGAATAAACATTTGCGTACCTGAGTCAGTTACCATTCAAGCTATATCCTTAAGATATTTTTCTGAAATGACAGCATTATAATGTTGATACATATGATCAAATTGCTGGTATATATTTTAAAATGATATATCAACCTTAAATTTAAACATCTATCTATCTATCTATCTCTCTATCTATCTATCTATCTATCTATATCTGTTGCTTCTTTTATTTTTTTTTTAAGAAACTAATTGATAACTCCAGTTCTCCCAGTAGAATGTAAGTTTGTGAAGGCAGATCTTTGTTTTATTCACTGTTCACTCAAGAGCAGAACAATCTTTTCTATATAATAAATACTTAGTGGTCCTTGTTGAATGAATGCATATATGAGATAGAGCAACATGTGAGTAATTGTATGTAATGTGACTGAATGTCATAAAATAACAAATACTGATAGTATATCTTAAAACAGTGTGTATCAAATAAGTTGCTGTGAATGATATTCTATTAAGGTGGAATAGTGGTTTTCAGTGAATACTATCAGTATTATGTGAGCTTTTGATTTTTTTCTTCAGTCTGTCTTCTGTCTCAAATTATGTATCAGCCTTCATTGTTATACTTACTGTGCACTTAAGGTACATTGACCTGTTGGAGAGAGGATAATCTCATCAGACTTAGGAGTTTTCAAGTAACACAAAGATCTGTAAAATACTGGGGCTGAAAAGATGATAAGTAAATACAATAGTGGTTAGATTCTTTGCTCTGCAAACAGGCTCATTTGAATTAAATTGTAAGTTGGCTGTTCTCTGATAGTATAAATCTTGGGTTACATACTCATTGTCCTTTTTGGTAATGCGGAGATGAAATAGTAGTACCTTCCTCATTTGACATTGTGGAGGCTAAGTGAGATAATGACTTTTATAATGAACTTGGCAACCAAAGTGCTTGGAATTACAATTTAATGGTTTTTTTTTTTTATTTGACTTTTTGTCTATTCTTGTGTAACATTACTTAAATTACTTAGTTTATTAGGACTATATAGATTAATCAACTGTCTATAATTCTGTACTTTCCTGATTCTCTCCATTAACTTACTAAAATTTTCTACGTTTTTGAGAGTGATAGATTATACCCTAATTAAAACAATTTTTTTTTATGGGGGGGGTCCGGTCCTGGGGCCTAAACTCTGGGCCTGGGCACTGTCCCTCAGCTCTTCAGCTCAAGGCTAGCACTCTACCACTTGAGCCATAGCACCACTTCCGGCTTTTTTCTTTTTGCTTATGTGGTGCTGAGGAATCGAACCCAGGGCCTCAGGCATGCAAGGCAAGTGCTCTACCACTGAGCCACCTTCCCAGCCCCTAAAACAATTTTTTAAAGAGAAAGAGAATAAAAATCCTTGTTATCAGAACCACTGGACCCTTCTATAAATTTAAGATAGATGTAGGACTTTTGTTATCTTATTTCTTCTATGTTATTTTATTTTAGAAATTATGATGTTGTTGCTCTTCATTTATCAGTTATTCACAAGTATTCTTTAAGACAAATGCAAAATTTTTAAAAGATCTATGTTAACAAAATGCTGTTAATGATGGTGTATGCCTGTAATCTCAGTTACCTGGGAGATGTAAGTAGGAGGATCTTTATGAAGACCAACCTGGGCCAAAAAATTGGGCTCTATTTGAAAATAAATAGACGTAAAAGGGGTATGTGTGTATGTGTGTGGTTTAGTGATAGAACACTGACTGGCCTTACATGCATAAGATCCTGAGTTTAAATGTTGGTGCTGTAGTGAATGAATGAATGAATGAATGAAAACGTAGAATAGAGCAATGAACAAACCACAGTTGTTGCTCAACATGCTTACATTCTAGTGCCAGCCAGATAAACTAGTCAGACAATATATTAAAGGATAAGACCTGTGAAAAAAAGTTTAGCAGAATAAGAATGGATTGTTCAATGACAGAATGATTTAGTGAATAATTTTGTATTAGTAAAGGGTTATTTATATAATTAAAATGAGATGAGGAGGAGATAAATGCTACAGTTATTGTGGAAGACATGCTTATAATGAATTGCTGCTGGTATGGTGATACATAACTGTGATCTTAGATTGAGGGGCAGAAGTATCACAAGTCTCATGAAATTTCATGAGACCGTATCTCAAAATAAAATGGTCTCAGACTGCTGGTCTAGCATGTATGAAGTCTTGGGTTTAGCCATTTCTCCCAATTTTAAAAAGAGAAGGACCTTCTCCCCCCCCCCCCCCCCCCCCCCAATTTTTTGTTGTTGTTGTTGGTCATGGGCTTGCACTCTGGGCCTGGGCGCTGTCCCTCAGCTCTTCAGCTCAAAGTTAGCATTCTACCACTTAAACCACATTCCCACTTCTGGTTTTCTGGTGGTTTATTGGAGATAAAGTCTCATGGACTTTCCTGCCCTGGCTGGCTTTGAAGCGTGATCCTCAGATCTCAGCCTCCTGAGTAACTACGATTTCAGGTGTGAGCCACCAGCGCCTGGCTCAGACAGAACATTTCTGTGTGTAGTTTAGGCCTGGTTTTGATGAACTCCTTTTGCCTCAGTTTCTGAGTGCTGATTATAAGCCTGTGCTAGATCATGATTTGCTAGATGTATTGTACTATTGTTGGACAGTGTATAAGGTACATGTTTGTAACACAAAATTAAGGTACTGTAAAATGTGTTCTTTTCCAGAGTTTTTTACATGGAATATTTGAACGTCTAAAACAGTTTCTAGAATGCAGTAAGTACTTCCATTACAATTTAGGTCTTATTATAGAACTGTCATTCATTGTTAAATAATGTCTAATTAATGACAATAAAGTTATGAGTTTTTTTGTTTCTTGGCTTGTTAAGGGCTTAAACTCAGGACCTAGGCACTGTCCCTGAGGCTTTTTGCTCAAGGCTAGTTCACAACACCACTTTGAACCATAGTACTACTTTTGGTTTTCTGGCGGCTAATTGGAGATACAGAGTCTTAGAGACTTTCCTACCCTGGCTGGCTTTGAACCATGATCCTCAGATCTGAGCTGCCTGAGTAGCTAGGAGTACAGATGTGAGCCACCAGCGCCCAGCCATAAATGAATTTTTAATAACTCAAACTCTCCACATATAGATCTGTCCAAATCATTGGAAAGTCTGAGCCCTTGGCAGCTGGAAAGATTATGTATATGCTTAAAATTAGTATCTACATCTTTTTAAAATTGGTTTATATTAGTAATATTGTAAAGTAAAAGTAAAATTTGGAAGTAGTGCTATGACTCAAAGTGGTAGAATGCTAGTCTTGAGTGAAAAGCTCAGGGACAGTGCCCTAAGTTTAAGCACCATGACTGACCAAAAAAATAAAAAAGTAAAATTGTTACTTTTCCACTCATGTTCATACTGTGTTCTAATCAATCTTAACTGCTCTATTATACTCCTTGCCTTCTCTTCCCCAGATAACATTCCTAACACATTTCCTTGTTTTATTTTTCATAGTTGCAAATAATCTGTTTTAACAGTATTCAGCTGGATGTCAGTGGCTCACTGATACAGAGAATTTGTGAAGAAGTTCTATTTAGCAGGGTGCCAGTGCCTCACACCTGTAATCCTTCATCTTGATGAGGTTGAAATCTGAGGATTGTGGTTTGAAGCCAGGCTGGGCAGATATATCTGTGAACCTTTTTTTCTTTTTGGTCCAGTTGTGGGGCCTGAACTCTGGGCCTGGGCACTGTCCCTCAGCTCTTCAGCTCAAGGCTAGCACTCTAACACTTGAGCCACAGCGCCACTTCCGGCTTTTTTCTTTTTGCTTATGTGGTGCTGAGGAATCGAACCCAGGGCCTCATGCATGCAAGGCAAGCCCTCTACCACTGAGCCACCTTCCCAGCCCCATATCTGTGAAACTTTATCCCCAGTTCACCATCAAATATTAAAAAGTGGAGTTGTAGTTCAGGTAATAGAGTACAAATCTTGAGTGAAAAGGCCAGGAAGTACTGGTACAAAACAAAAGAAGACAGTATTCAACCTCTTATTATCTCCTCTAGCCCAACCCTTTCCTGCTAGTCCCCATGCACCTGTAGTCTTATTTCTCCTCCACATCTTATTGATCCTCAATTTTTGTTCAGCTTATCTATTGCTCTCCTGTATACTTCCAGTGTGTTACACAGTTATTCACCCTCTTTATTTTTCCATTCTTCTTCTCTTCCCCTGAGTAGTCTCTTAGCTTGATTCTGTTTAATCATAAATGTGTGTGTGTGTGTGTGTGTGTGTGTGTGTGTGTGTGTGTGTGTGTGTGTGTGTGTGTGTGTGTATATATATATATATGCCCGTGAGTATGGGTGTCTTTTATATCTAACTTAGAACTGCAGTCCTAAAACCAAACCAAAACAAAAAAACCCTGCAGTCCTTCGATCTTAGCCTTCTTAGTAGCTAGGATTACAGGCGTGAGCCATCAGTGCTTGGTAATATTTCATTTTTGAGCTTGTTTTTTCTCACCTAGTAGGATGTTCTCTCACTTGCCCCCATTTTCCCGCAAAGGACATGATTTCATTTTTCTTTATGGTGTTGTAGTATTCCATAGTGGGTATTAGTATATAAATGCATATAATGTTGGGTGCCAGTGGCTCACGCCTGTAATCCTAACTACTCAGGAGGCTGAGATCTAAAGATCTCGGTTCAAAGCCAGCCTAGGCAGGAAAGTCCATGAGACTCTTATCTCCAAAAAAGCACTGGAAAACTGGAAGTGGCGCTGTGGCTCAAGCGGTAGAGTGCTTGCCTTGAGCTGAAGAGCGCAGGGACAGTGCCCAAGCCCAGAGTTCAAGCCCCACGACCGACAACAAAAAAAAAAGAATTTAAATAAATACACAAATGCATATAATATATGTGGTGGACATGAGGGTAAGCCTTAATTGGCTTCAAATCTCAGTCCTTAGATCTCAGCCTCCTGAATAGATATGATTACAAGTATGAGCCACTGGCACCTTGCTATACATTGATTTTGTCAGACCGTTTACTAGCTTGCCTTTAGGTCCTTTTGTGATCCTTTGTTCCAAATAGTGTGTGTGTGTGTGTGTGTGTGTGTGTGTGTGTGTGTGTGTGTGTGTGTGTAAGTCTTTATATTTTACTGGTGATCTCTTATTTTCTCTCTTCTCTGATTATAAGAACTTTGCTTAGGGAGCATATACATACAAGTGTGGGTGATTGGTCATGCGGGTGTTTACATTTGGGGACTTCTTAATTTGACCTGCTGATTGTTTTATATCAGTTATTTTCAGTTAGGTGAAAACATTGAGGTTGTTGTCAGGTACCCTCATATGTATTATGCATTCAGAAATTTGTAAGACAACTCAATCAAGCCTTGTAGTTAATTTGAGAAAGAAAACAAAGATAATTTTCTCTAGCCATCATTGTGGGATAGTAAAAGGAAGAATTGAAGTCAAAGTTGAGTGAAATAAATGACAAAACAGATAATGGAGAATAGGATGAGAGAACAAACAAGTTGATAGACTAATGGTCATTAATCAATATACAAAGGAATTATTCAAAGAAATTTGTCATTAGAAAGGAAAAATGATATTAAGAATGTTATTCTGGTGCTTAGAATTGCTTAGAAAATACTTCAGCTTTGAGTAGGTTTTATTCCTAAAATTATTACTTTAAAGTAGCTTATTTCTTAAGGTTAACTTTTTGTATAGTTATATATATTGCATGTAATACGTACTAATACATAGTTATAATAATTAGTGATGATTACTTGTCTTATTAAGGGCAAATCTTATATTGTTTTTTAAATAATGAACTTAAAATATAAAATATAGAAGAATATAACTTCACAGTCATTTTTGTAAATTTGTAAATGTTTTGTTTGTGAATTTATAGAATATTAAAAATTTGTACTAATATTTGCAATATATTTTTAACAGGTAGAAGTATAGGTACAGACAACGTATGTAGAGATAGATTGGAAAAAACCATCATTCTGTTTACTAAAGTGGTAAGTTGTTTTTATATCTTGTATGTATTTTCTCAAATATAGTACATATGCTGAAATTTAGAAAGGAAAATATTTTTGTAAGTATACATTTTACTTTAATGTATGCAAACTTAACTATCTGATGATCAAGGAAAGCTAAAAAAAACCCTACTTTTGTATCTTTAAACCTTTAGAAAGTATATATAATTTATTCATGTTCCATATATTGTACTGTCATCTTGGTGTGAAGAATGAATTTAATAAATGTTAAACAAGTTGGTTACTCTAAAGCTTCTTATTCTTAGACCATAGGAGAAAGCAGAAATAATGAAGATAGCAGTTCAGTCAGAAATAGACAAATCTAGCAGGCAGGATATCATCAAGAAGTCAATATATTGAGAATAGATACCAGATTTTCATCACCAGTGTGATATGTGTTTTAGTGAAATTGTATAGGGTCTACTATATTAGGCAATTTTCATAAAATATATTTTTATGAAATTTGGGTTTTGGAAAATTAGGAAAAGTATTCATTGAAGGGGAGAAACAGCTGAAGCAAACTTAATTTTCATGTTTGGGTGTGCAGTTTTATTCTTGCTGTGGATAGCTCATTAAGGGAAGGATGTTTATTTTGCCGGTGGTCTGAGATTTCAGTCCACCCTGCTGAGGAAGAATGGTGGAACAGAGCTGCTCCAATGATAGTGGCTAAGAAAGAGGAGAGTGGGGGGAGGAGAGAGAGAGAGTGAGAAAAAGAGATGGAAAAAGAGGAGAGAAAGAATGCTTGTGCAGCTGGCCTTCTACCTTTTTACTTCACAGATACACCCAGAGGTATACTAATCATAGGTATATCTCAAAGCAATCAACTTAATCGAGATTAGCCATCACAGTACCTTTAGTTTAGTTGTCTTTGTTTCTTAAGTTCCAAATAGTCTCCATAGCAAAAACTAAGTTAACTTTCCAAAATCCGTTCCAAAGTTAACTTAGAACCTAACACAAAGCAAAGTAAAACAAAATGATGAAGTTAGTCAATGATCTGAATATCTGCCAGCAACAGTCCCTGCTTAGTATGTCACATATGTAAGTAACAGTTAAAAATGATTTTTTAGATGGTCTGTTTTAGGAAAAAAAAAACAAACCCTGATTATTTACCTACTGAATTTTCTAGTTTTCAATTTTAACTCTGAAATTCTTTTAACTCTATAAAGCACTTGAAGTAGTAATTTAAGTTTTTTACCACTTGAGCTATATTCCCCCTAGTCCTTATACTTCTTTTTTAAAACAAGTTGGCAAGGTGATATACAAAGGGGTTACAGTTACTTGTGTGAGGGTATGTTACCTTCACAATAAAATTAATCAGCTTTGATCCTTGAAAAAAAGAAAAGACACAAGCTGCAGCAATAATTTAAGAATTTTATTTTGGTCAGACTTGGGGGTTGAACTCAATTCCTTGTGCTCTAAACAGGTACCTCACAACTTGAGCCATGCCGATAGTCCCTTTTGTCTTTTTTTACTTTTCTAACAGGGTCTCTTATCTATGTTTTGGGCTGGCTAAACTGTGATGCTCCTATTTACGATTCCTATGTAGCTGAAAATAGATATGTGCCACCACACTAATTTTTTTTTTAATTGGCTGAGGTAGCCTCACAAACTTTGTGTATATATTACCCTTGAATTGTGATCCTCCCACTTTCTACCTACTTGAGATAACACATTCTTGGTTACTTAAACTCTTTAAGCCTTAGTTTGTGGTAAATACATATAATTCAAGCACTCGAGAGATAAAGGCAAGAAGATTGTAAAGTCAAGACTAACTTGGGCTATATAAGGTTATTCTGTCTCAAAAACAAGGGGGAAAGCCCCATGTCTCATTCCTGTAATCCTAGCTACTCAGGAAGCTGAGATCTGAGGGTTACAGTTGAAGACAGCCCAGGCAGAAAAGCCCCTTGAGATTCTGAACTCCAATTAACCATTTGGAAACTACAAAGTGGTAGAGTGATAGCCTTCAGAAAAAAGAGCTCAAGGACAGTGTCCAGGCCCTGAGTTCTAGCCCTATGACTGACAAAGACAAAAACAAGAACCAGAAGGGGGGAATAACTACCCCTTGAAATTGGGATACTTTAAACATAGATCCAAATAAAATTGTAAACTTAGAATCTCCAGGACACAGTAGCTCAGCTTTAGCAATTATATCACATCTTCATGGACAATCCTCTTTTTTCTACATGCTACCTTCCTTTCCTATTGCTGATGATTTTAAAACAAGTCCTAGATATTATATTTTCTGTAAAATTTGTGTCTATATCTTTAAATATTTTTTAACCATAGTTTTAAAATTATCACATTGAAAAATGGACATGATTTCTTACTATCTATTAAGATTCAGATTTCTCTGTCACAAAATTTTTTATGGTGGTTTGAGACAGGATTGAGTAGTGTCAGATACCTTTTCACCTCCCTCCCCTTTGGGTTGGTTTATTGGGGTAACAGGTTATTTCTTGAAGCGTTTCTGCACTAGAGATTTGGCTGTTTATGTCCATTTTAGAAGGAGTAAGCCCTTTGGTTGCCTCCTCTCCTCGTTTTTCTTAAAAATTATCGTTTGAGATAGAAGCATACTTTTTTTTTCTGTGGGAGAAGCTAGGGATGATAATACTTTATAGGTTATGGTGTGTATTTATGTGGATTTCATACTATTACCTTATAAGGAGACAAACAATCTTTGGTTCTCTACTTGTGTGGTTAAAATTTAAGAGTAAACTATGCGAGTTTTTCAGAAATCTTTCTCCTCTTGATTTTCTGATGATCATTGCTTGAATTTTTTTTTTAGAGGTTACAAAAAAAAATGATGACATTTTGTTATTCCTCTGTGTGCGTGTATGTGTGTGCTGGTCCTGGGGACTAAACTCAGGGCGTGGGCCTCTTTTCATGGCTAACACTTTACCACTTGAACCACAGATCCACTTGCAGCCTTTTGTTGATTAATTGGAGATAAGAGTCTCTTGGACTTTCCTTCTCAGGCTGGCTTGTAATTGTGATCCTTAGATCTCAGCCTCCTGAGTATCTAGGCCTATGCTACTGGCCTCTAGCTTATATTTTTATACATTAGCTGGAATTCTATAAAGGAGAGATCTTCAGCAACTGTTTGATTCATTGAAATATAATTAATGCCAGAAAGACAGGATTAATTTTTAATTATCTCCTTGGTTATTTTTAAAACTATCTTTTTTCAATGAAGGACTAGAGGTGTGGCTCAAATGGTAAGACACCTGTGTAGCAAGTGCTAGACTGATTCAATCCTCAGTATGGTCTTAAACAGCCAACCTTTTATGGAGTTAATTCCTTTTATATTACATTTATTCATTGTTATAAAATTAAGTTGGCCTGTTTTGATCCCTTTACTGGAAATAGAAAATTCTTATGCGATATAATGTTGGAAAATTTACATTATATGATAGTCTCCAAAGAAAAAAGGTTGTATGCAGTCAAAGTTGCATGTACAGAAAATCCCCACCAACACTTAAAACTTGGTAAATATTAAATAGTAAAATTAAAACTTGAAAATGATTTCTTCCATTTTGAATTTTGACACAATACATTTTAATTTTTTTCTTTATAGCTTTTGGACTTCTTGGATCAGCATCCCTTTTCCTTTACTCCTCTAATTCAGAGATCACTGGAATTTTCTGTAACCTATGTTTTTACTGAAGTTGGTGAAGGTGTTACATTTGAACGATTTATCGTCCAATGCATGAATCTTATTAAGATGATTGTCAAAAATTATGCTTATAAACCATCCAAAAATTTTGAAGGTAATACTTGTAGTTTTCTACCCCTTGTTCTTTATTTCGTTAAATGAAATAATTATTATTTTGTTATAAAGTTTTCTTCTAATTCATTTATTTTAGTTTGCTGTTGATGTGTCTGACATGAGATAGAAATAAGGATTTTTTTTCAGTATATCAACACCAGCTTGGAACAACTTTATAGTGCACTTAATAAATACTTGGTTGACGCTTAGAGACTTTAAAAAGACTTCACTTTCAAGCTGGGCCCTGATGGCTCACAAGCTACTCAGGAGGCTGAGATGTGAGAGTGGTGGTTCGAAGCCAGCCTGGACAGGAAAGTCTGTGAGACTCTTATCTATAGTTAGCCACCAGATAACTAGAAGTAGAACTGTGGCTCAAGCACTACCCTTGAGCAAAAAAGTTCAGAGACAGTGACCATGTTTTAGTTCAAGCCCCATGACTGACCAAAAAACAAGATTATTCACTCTTAAAACTGGACAATTAGAACTTTTCTCTGACTTTTTAGAAGTTGTTTGTTGAATTATTTAGAACTCATTCTGTACATGAACATCAAGATGAATGAGAAATGTTTGGGAGAGGGCACCATGAGAGCAAGAGGTCACTTCAACACGTTGTTCTAGTGTAGCACAGCAGTCCACAAACTGTAGAGCTAAGACGGCCTTCATGTGTATATTCAGAAGGAAAGAGGGTCGTGAAATGTGTTTACGATAAAAATAGACAAATACATCTTTTCCCTCAAGGCTATATTTTTGTACTTAAGTATATAGTTCAATTTAGGATGTCTAGCTATACCATTAATTGAGAAATTTTGTTTTTCTAGATAGCAGCCCTGAAACTCTTGAAGCTCATAAGATTAAGATGGCCTTCTTCACATATCCCACTTTGACAGAGATATGTAGAAGATTAGTCTCTCAGTATTTTCTGTTAACTGAAGAAGAACTGACAATGTGGGAAGAAGATCCAGAAGGCTTTAGTAAGAATTAAGTTTTCAGTTTTAGCATGGCTCATCTTTCTCCATACATGTGTTTAAATGATGGCGAATACTTTATTGTAGCAGTTTTGATATGGGTATCTGGGGGGTCTTTAAAATTAGCCTTTTCTTTCTTACCCATTTGAACAAATTAAGAAGCGGGAAATGAATGATTTTTTTCAAATATGAAGCAAAATTTTATCTAGAAAGCAATCTTTTTAATTTTTAGAAGTGTAATTTAAAATAAAAATATAAAATACTGCCTCTGCTATTAAGTTGCTATTAATTTTATATTTTATGATTGATTTCATATTTTTTGTTTATAGAGAATTTTCTTTTTGTTTCTTTTTCTGGGTGGATAGGATGAAGTAGATAATTAAGCTTGAACCCAAGGCAAGTGAATGCTAAATATGTGCTTCACCACTGAGCTAGAGGTTTTTTTGTATGCTTAAAATGCTTGCTTCATTCCCCTTTATGATAAGAGTTTTTTTAATCTATTTGAATTTTAGTAGTAGATAGATGATTTGCATAAAATGTGTCTGGACCCATGCTTAGAAGAGTCAGGTGTCAAATCAAATGCCTTCGTGTTAATCACTGGCTGCATTGGATCAAAGGCTTCTTCACTAATGTGTAGAAAATAAAAGTACAAATGACAAAAAGCTCATTTGACATTCTGTTAAACATAGCAGAAACTGGAGTCTGCTTAGCCCTTTGGTTAGATGCTTTTGTGTAGGAACAACATGTTTCCTAATGCTTTAACAGTCCCTTAAAACTTTTTTAGAGGGCTTAATCTTTTTCATATGGAAATAGTTTATTTAGAAGATACAGTGTTGTACTGCACAATATCTCTTTTGTTCCATTTTATTTCCTAGCTAGAATCATATATTTCAATTGGTTTTCTTTATATAGCGCATATAATAACATGAAATATTGTTCAAGTCCCTGGATTTTTTAAAACTGTAAAATATTTTACATTAAATGTAAATACATAGAAGGCATTTATGAAGAGTAACTTAATTTGAAAAGCATGATTGATATATTGAAATAAATCTCAGGGTGGTAATGATACTGTATTAAGGGATATCAGATACTTGAACAACAGATATTTTGCACTTTCTTCCGTAAAGAAGTTTTATTCAAAGTTAGAATGCTTATGAATATAATATACCTGATAGGTGATTGTAAGAGTCTATGATGTGGCTTATAGTGAAGAAGTTTGGGCAAGACCAGTGTACTCAAGGATTTCCATTTAGTGTTTAAAACTAGTCATAGAAACATTATGTTGAGGGGCTGGGAAGGTGGCTTAGTTAGAGTGCTTGCCTAGCATGCATGAAGCCCTGGGTTCGTTTCCTCAGTGCCACATAAACAGAAAAAGCTGGAAGTGGTGCTGTGGTTCAAGTGGTAGAGTGCTAGCCTTGACCACAGAGAGGCTCAGGGACAGTGCCCAGGCCCTGAGTTCAGGGCCTGCAAAAAATAATAATAAATAAATAAAAAGAAAAAGAAAGGAAAGAAAAAGAAAAAAAGAAACATTATGTTGATAACATTCTAACTTTTGTTTGCCAAAAATTGGATTCTGGAAACACCATTATTGCATTTCTGGAGACTATCATTTGTCATTATTTTTTATTGCAGCAGTGGAAGAAACAGGAGGAGATTCTTGGAAATACAGTTTGAGGGTAAGTAATTGAAAGAAAAATCAATAGGGAAAGGCTTATTAACTCTTCTAAAACTCATAGTGGAGAATACTATATTAAAATCCCAAACATTAACTCAGACAGATTTATAATTTAGACTTATTTATAATTGCAGAAACTATATATCTGAGAGGGAATTACTGAATTAAATTATGCATTTTAATTTAATTTTTAATATTTTTTATTAACATGAGGTTTGTAAACTTCATGTGTTTGTAGTTTGGGAAGTAATTGTTTCACAAGTGGATAATATTTGTAGAAGTGTAAGCTGTCACTTTTTGGCTAGAAAGATCCTCCCACCTCGAAGTCTTTCCTTTATAACACACACACATTTACACATTTTCTTTTGTTGTTTATTGTTGTTGTTGATCATGGGTCTTGAATTTAGGGCCTGGATGCTGTCCCTGAGCTCTTTTGCTTTACCACTTTGAGCCACAGCTCCACTTTCAGTTTTTGAGTGGTTAATTGGAGATAAGAATGACATTGTTTTGTTGTTAAAGTGAATTAGTGGTTTTCTGAAAATATATCTTAAATGTTTTAGACTCATAAGCTTGTAGTTTTAAATCAGCGTACACTGGTGCTATTAAAAGTTGAAAAAATAATTACTTTAACTTTTTTTTTTTTGGTTGGTTGTGGGGCTTAAACTCTGGGCCTGGGTGCTGTCTCTTAGCTCTTCAGCTCAAGGCAAGCAAGTCTTACAGCCTTTCCTGCCCAGGCTGGCTTTGAAATGCGATCCTTAGATCTCATCCTCCTGAGTAGCTGGAATTACAGGCTTGAGGCCCTGGCGCCCGGCAATTTAACTTTTTAAAAAACTTTCTTTCTAGGTAGCTTCAGAAACACAAAAAACATGCTAATGTCTAAGCAGCCTTTCATGATAACTAGTTTGTCAGATATCAGTGCTAATCTCTCCATTCCAAGTTTGTCAAGCAGATGTGTAAGATGGTATAGTATCTTACCTGTATATATTTCAGTATGTGAATCCACAGAATTCCTTTTCAAACATAAAGCAAATAATGTGGACATTTAATTATTATACCTTCACATTATGAACTATTTTCTGATTTAGTACTTTTAAGAATCAAATCCAATCTTTTTTTTAACAATGGCTAACTACATTTCTTAATGTTTGTATTTGTTAAAAAATATAGTGATTTTTATGATGAGGTAAATTTATGAATTGTGTCATTGGTTGTTATATTACTGGTAACAGTAATGTACAATATAGTACTTAACTGTAAATGAACCACTGCTTTGCATCATACTAGCCTGCATGAGTTCTCTATTTTTAGGATGCAGAGAACACTATCTTTTAGGTGGTACATTGCTCTACCCCTTGAGCTATACCTACAGCTCTTTGCTTTTAGGTGGCTCCCCTTTCCCCCAGGTAGTTCCATAACCTTCTACCTGGGGCTAGTATTGGCCTTAAGATTTTCCTACCTACTTCTTCCTAGTATTTTAGGTCACTATCATCAAAATGCTCGACTTGTTCTTAGAGATAACTTCTCTTTTTTTTGGAGGGGAGAAGCTTACCTCAAACTGTGATCCTCTTATCTCTGCCTCCCTTATAGGCATGAGTCACTGCACCTGGTTTATGGAATGAATTTTGAGCTATAATTAAAATTTATTTTTGAATGCAAATGCCAGGTGATTAAAATAAGGGTTCTGTTTGTTGTGGATTAAATTATTATAAGTTGACTTTACTTTCCATTGTATTGATTACAAAAAAGTAATTTTATTTTCATTGCTGAGGATTGAATCCCAGGCTCCTTTTTTCTAGGCAAGCACTCTACTACTGAGATTTACTACAGAGGTTTAGGATTCCAAGAATGAGTGCTCTTTGCTTTATTTTAGTAGTCAATACAACATGTCATTTATTTTTGAAATTTGGTTCTTTTTTCCCCATCCAGCCTTGCACTGAAGTATTATTTATAGATATATTCCATGAATATAATCAGACTCTTACTCCTGTACTTCTAGAAATGGTAAAATCACTTCAAGGTAAGGTATATTTTGTGATAATCCTATATAGCCACTTAATTAATGGTCAGAATAGCCTGAGTACTGTGAGTAAGGTGCTGTTTCCTAGGTCATATATTGAATATGACTTTGAGAATGACTGAATGTCTTCTTTCCTGAAAGTTTGGTGTTTGAGATGAGTCTTGATTTGTAATTAAGAATGTGATCGTTTTTGCTGTTCTTAGCATGAAAGCAGCAAAAGCAAAATGGTACCTATATTGCCTAGGGAAATAATCTCTCCAGAGCATGTTGTGGGAAGTAGTGAGAAAAGGTTAATTGTGATATATTGTGTTCACAGTTGTACTTTTGGGAATAGAAAGACTAATTCAAAAGAATGATAAAGCAAATTTTAGATATTTTATAACTGAATTTTATGCATATGTAATTAACTTTTACTTTTAATTAGCATTAATTTATCCTTTCTTCTAGACTATTAAGTTCCAGGCCACATTGACCATACCTTTTTTTTGGAAGGGGGGGGTCCAGTTGTGGGGCCTGAACTCTGGGCCTGGGCACTATCCCTCAGCTCTTCAGCTCAAGGCTAGCGTTCTACCAGTTGAGCCATAGTCCCACTTCCGGCTTTTTTCTTTTTGCTTATGTGGTACTGAGGAATTGAACCCAGGGCCTCATGCATGCAAGCAAGCGCTCTACCACTGAGCCACCTTCCCAGCCCCGATCATACCTCTTTTATTTGTACTTTATTCCTAGTAGCTGGAATACTGTTTCTTAGCTGACTGACCTGACCAAATGATCGAATGCAATGTGGCTACAAATGTTCTTGAGGTTTACAGTCTTTATTTCAGAGAATACTACAATTGGTTGTAGACAGTTTTGGGGGTATATGTTTATAAGGAGACTTGGGAGGGAAAAGAGGTTCAAAGCCAAACCTAAGATTTTCAATGTAGGGAAGAAGCAAAATAACCTACAAAAAGGCTTAATAAGAAAGTGTTTCGGCCAGGAACCTGCATCTCATGGATATAATCGTAGCTCTTTAGGAGGCTGAGATCCGAGGAACACAGCTCAATTCTAGCCTGGGCAGGAAAAAGTCCATGAGACCTTTATCTCCAAAACCTACAAAAGCTGAAATGGAGCTGTGGTTCAGGTGGCAGAGCACTAGCCTTGAGGGGAAAAAAGAACAAATAAGCTCAGGGACAGTACACAGACCCTGAGTTCAAGCCCTAAGACCAGCACACAAACAATAAAAGTATCCCAAAGTATGAAAGGAAATATTGGAGATGATTATGTTGTCAGAAATTAGTATGAATTGCTTGTAAGAGATAAAAGGCAATGAAATCTGAGAGAATAGTTTGTTGCTGTTGTTGTTATTATTATTGGGGGGCAAGACTCATGGTATATATGATCAAGAATTGAGTAATTGACACCAGATGCCAGTGACCCACACTAGTAATTCTTGCTATTTGGGAGGCTGAGGTCAGAAGGACTGCGGTTCAAGGCAGCTTTGGCATATACACAAGAGTGCTTCTCAGTAATAAGTAAGTGCAGTCGCATGTGCCTGTCATCCCAGCTCTGTGGGAAGCTTAGATACTTAGGAATGAAGCTCTAGGAGATTTTCTCAACTGGAAGAAGGTGGTAGTATGTGCCTGGTTAGTGTAGATGTGATGGGAAGTCTAAAACAGGTGGTTTATGCTAGGAAGTGAGACTTGTTATAAGGCTAAAGGTATGGCTCAGTAGAGTGCCTGACTATCAGGCAAGAGGCCCTGAGTTCAAACCTCAGTACCCATAAATGTGCACACATTTGTGTGTGTACACACATTTGAGTAGTAGCAATGTAAGGAAACAAGAGCAAGTAGATTGTCAGTGTGACTCCACTTTTTAAGCTGTTCTCTCAAAAGCCTCAGTCTTCTGCTTAAAATAAGCCAAGTGAAATAATGAACTATTTATCCAGTTTATGATGTTAACTTTTAAAGATGAGGATAATACTCTTGTGTTGAATAGTTTGCAAGGTGTAGTTACTGGTTTCTTCATGTGGGATTACATAAATTTAGTGATTTGTCTCCCTGAACTGGGAGCTGGCCCTGAGCTTTTTTGATAATAAGGCTAGCACTCTACCACTTTGTGTCACAGCCACTTCTGGTTTTCTGGTGAATAATTGGAGGTGAGAGTCTCACGGACTTTCTTGCCTGGTCTGACTTTGAACTGTGATCCTCAGTTCTCAGCCTCCTGAGTAGCTAGGATTTCATACATGAACCACCAGCACCCAACAGATTTAATAATTTTTATACTACTGAGGTGACTTTTTGCCTAACTTCAGTTTGCCTTTTTAAGCCACTGTAGGAATGATGAGACTGTTAAGGTTACATTTTGATCTGTTGCTGTCTCCTAGTAGGATTTTCAATTACTTTTTTTCCTTTTTGCCTGTCCTGAGGCTTGAGCTTTGGGTGCTATTCCTGAGATCCTTTTTGCTCAAGTGAAACTCTACCACTTGAGCCACAATACCACTTCCAGCTTTTTCTGTGATTAACTGGAGATGACAGTCTCATGAACTTTCTTGTTCAGGCTGATCAAACCATAATCTTCAGATCTCAGCCTCCTGAGTAGCTAGGATTATAGGCATGAGCTGTTGGTATCCAGCTTCAATTACTTTTGATCTCTGTTTTCTTTCTAACTCTGATTTAGGACTAATTAAACTAGCTTATTGTAATATTTAGCTCAATAATTCTTTGACAGCAGCTAACAAGTTTTCCAAGCTTGTTAGAACATTTTTTTTTCTTTTTTTTGGGTTGGTTGTGGGACTTGAACCCTGGGGCTGGGCACTGTCCCTGCACTCTTCAGCTCAAGGCGATCGCTCTACCTCTTGAGCCACAGCGCCACTTTCGGTTTATTGGAGATTAGAGTCTCACAGACTTTTCTGCCCGGGCTGGCTCTGAACCTTGATCCTCAGATCTCAGCCTCCTGAGTAGCTAGGATTATAGGCGTGAGCCACTGGCGCCGACTTGTTAGAACATTTTTTTAAAGAAAACTTGCACTTACTAAGTAAATTGTTTTTCACTGTCAGCTATGCCATCCTCCTGCATGAATAGGACAGCAGAGATTGGCAGCTTCTTTAAAATTCTTTTATTTTTCTGGCCATCAGTGTCAGTTTATACTTTTCGTTTTACTCTATTTAAAGTGTTTCTGTAGCCTTTAAACTTGTTTTTTTTTTTAATGTAGCACTTGTTTTGTGAATTATATATCCTTGGCTTCTAGTTCTTGAATTTTTTTTCTATTGTATAATTTTAATTCTCTTAGCATAAGAGAGTATAATTCAGCAGCAGTTTACGGTATATGTTTTGAAGAGTTTTGCTTATTAGAACATTTAAAAATACAGTAGAATGATTTTTCTAACTAATTTTATGCTTTTATATGTTGTGCCTGTATTCTCCATTGGTAATGACAACAAAACTTAAAAGACTTTGCTATTGTACAGTATTTTCACAATAAAAAAATGACTTTGCTATTAAATGTGCATGCATGTTTTTGTTTATTTATGACACTGGGGATTGAATTTAGGATCTGGCTTTTGCTAGCTAAGTGTTATGCTGTCCAAGTATTCTATTACTGAGTTGTATCTCCAGCCTCACATGCATGCATGTCTAACGGGTATTCATACATAACCAATAGAATACTACATAGACTTAAAAGGAAAAGAAATTGTCTTTCATGACATCATGGATGGGATGAGAGAATATCATGCCAAGTGAAATTATACTGTGAAATGATATATACAAAATATACAATTATATAAACAAAATTATATGTTATATATTGTATATATAAATTATGTATACAAATATATACAATTACATGTGAAATCTACAGTAGTCCAGCTGATAGAAGCAAAGACTAGAATGAGGAGAGAATGGGAAGCAATGTTTAAAGGGCTCAAAGTTCTAGGAGGAATAAAATATTTTAGAAGTTTTAGCCAGGCACCAGTTACTCATGCTTTTAATTCTAGCTACTTGGCAGGCTGAGAGCCAAGGATCACAATTTGAAGTGCGCTCAAGCAGGAAAGCCTATGAGACTCTTACCTCCAATTAAACACCAAAAAAAGGTGGAAGTGGAGCTGTCACTCTCAGGGAGAGTACACATGTTCTGAGTTCAAGCCCCAAAACTGGCACATACACAAAAAAGTTTCTGTGATAAATATAGTTAATATAGTTGCACATTCCAGGACTAAGAGGAAAATTTCAGTTGTCACTACAGAAATGTATTTAAGATGGTAGAAATATTAACTAGTTTGATTTAATTAATACCACATTTTGTTCATAAATCATTTTTTACCTCAGATTTTTTAATATAGGCTATTAATTGAAGTAAAAGTGAAAAAAATTATTATTACTCTTTATTTGTGCTGGTCTTAAACTCAGGACCTGAGCACTGTCCCTAAGCTTTTTTGTTCAAGGTTAGTACTCTACCATTTGAGCAACAGCTCCACTTCTGGCTTTTTGCTGGTTAATTGAAGATGAGTCTTGTGGACTTTCCTGCCTAAACTGGCTTCCAACTGTGATCCTTAGATTTCAGCCTCTTGAGTAGTTAGGATTACTACTGCTTCCCAGCTAAAAATGTTATTTTTAAGATAAATTTTATACAGAAAGACAGGTACTGCACGATCGTATTCTTGTGAAATGTAAAAAAGTCGGTCTTACAGAAGTTGCAAATACAAATAGAATGTCAGTTACCAGAGGCTGGGATAAGAGGGAGGAGATGAGGAAAGATGGATTATTTAGCATTAAGTTACCATTTGTTTTAAGCAAGAAGTTCTGTCACAGTATGGTGACCATATTTAACAGTAATGTACTGTTTATTTAAAAGAGAAGAAACTAATAAATGTTTGTAGCCACAAAATAATTATATAGATTAAGGAGATAGATACTTAACCTGGTTAAAACATTATACAATGTGTCATGCATCAGCATATCATGTGATATTAAAGCGTAATTTTTTATATACTGGTTAAAAACTAAAATATAACAACTTTTTTTAAAGGACCCACCAATGTAGAAGATATGGAAGCACTGTTAATCAAAGATGCTGGTATGTAAAACTGAAATGATTTAAATATGTATTTAACTAGTTGTTAGATGGTCTGTGTTATGTTTGGTATTGTGTTAGGAGAGCAGATATGTACAGTAATTAAACATCTGAACTGTGGTAAGGGAGATAACCAGTGAAATAGACAGTTAATTACAATACTGTGGAATGTTTAATGCCAGGATACTAGATAAAGATATCAGAGATCATATCATAAAACATTATCTCCATTTAGAAGCAGATCATTTTTGTTTGTTCATTTGTTTTTTTGAGACAAGGTTTCATGATATAGCCAAGGCTGATCTTAAATTTACCATAGCTCTTTAATTTTCTGCCTCAGCCATCCAAGTGATGCTTGTGATACACATTGATGATCTGTTTAGATGCTATTTTAGATAGTATCTAGATCTGTTTAGATACTATTTTATAATTTGAATGAATTTAGTTTTCTACTGTGAAGTTTTTGGGAAAAGCTTGGACTAAAATTACTTAAACTATGTTTTTTTTTTAATGTCAGTTTCAATAATTTTCCTGGTTAACATGTTGTATATTCCTTAAACTTACCATCCTCCTGCTTTCATCTTTTTAAGTGCTGTATTACAGGTTTAAGCCACCATGTTCAGCAGTAGTTTTAGTTTTGCACAAAAGATCAAGTAGTCTGAAATCTTTTCCTTTCTTAAATTTTCTTTTTAGTATATAATGCTGTTGGATTAGCTGCTTATGAACTTTTTGACAGTATTGATTTTGATCAGTGGTTTAAAAGTCAACTTCTTCCAGAATTACAAGTCAATCACAACAGGCAAGTATAATTTCTGTGTTTAACATACCTTTCTTTTGCTTTACTTTTTTTTTTTAAATGAAGGAAAGTAAGCATTGAAATTGTTTACAATTTTGAAGCCGGGCGCTGGTGGCTCACACCTGTAATCCTAGCTACTCAGGAGGCTGAGATCTGAGGATCGCGGTTCAAGGCCAGCCCGGACAGGAAAGACCATGAGACTCCTATCTCCAATAAACCACTAGAAAACCGGAAGTGGCGCTGTAGCTCAAGTGGTAGAGCCCTTGCCTTGAGCTGAAGAGCGCAGGGACAGCACCCAGGCCCCAAAAAAAGAAATTGTTTACAATTTTGAAAAGGTGATAGTATGACTTAGCAGTTATTATGTACTGTAGAAAAGAAGACTTCTGAAATTTATAACTGAAATATAGGTAAAAGACTAGACTTCTATGTTACTTGTTTTCATAATTACAGGAATTGTGATAGTTGTAAAGTATTTCACATAAATGATCATTTGTAGGAGAAAAGAAATAGGACTTTATGCAAAGGTGAGAGAAGATACAGATTCCCAAGTCCCAGATATAAGCTGTGCAAAGAGGGACTGTGTTTAATTATTAGAAGTAACATCCATGAAAAGTGACTTGTGGAAATTCATATAGAGCCATGCTACAAGTCTTTGAGGAGACAGTAGAGTAGGTTTAGCAAAAACATCTCAAAAGGCACTTGAATACACTTTAGACTCTTACTGTGGTGTCTCTCTCACTAGTGAAAATCCATATAACATTTAGGAACATTTTGCCTAGTTTCTTTGTTTTACATGTAAGTGTTTGCCTATCTAAATTTTCTTGGTGAATGAATAGAAGGAGAAAAATCTGTTACAAATTCTTTTTAAAAATTAAAAAGCTGTTAAAAATTCTTGATTTAAAACTAAAGACTAAAAGCTTATTTTGGGGGGGAGAGAGAGAAGGAGAGAGAGAGAGAGAGTTTTCTTTTTTAACTGGTCCTGGGGCTTGAACTTAGAGCCTGGGTACTTTCCCTGAGCCTCTTTGTGCTCAAGGCTAGCACTTTACCACTTGAGCCACATTGCCACTGGATTTTTCTAAGTAGTTTATTGAAGTTAAGAGTCTAATGGACTTTTCTACCTGGGCTGGCTTTGAACCTTGATCCTCATGTCAGCCTCCTGAGTAACTAGGATTATAGGTGTGAGCCACTGGTACCTGGGTAAAGGTATAATTTTTATTCAGTAAGTTGAAATTTATCTTTTCAGTTACTCATTTAGTCAACAAATATTTTCATTATGTAGAATTTGCAGTGTTCTATAGAACCAGTGTTAAATAAAATAACCTTTGATTTTGCCAAGGTGCTAGTAAGACTTTAATGGAAAGAAAGCCTCCATTGAGGAGATCTAATTATCCTTAAAACATATGGCTGTTTCATTTAGACTCACTGTATAGTACTCTCACAGGACTGTTAAGAACTTTAGTTATGCTTAGTGACATTATGGAAAAATTTAATTCATTTAAATTTAAATTTTAACAATGTAGGTCTGGTTCAGTGGTAGAGTGCTTGCCTAGTATGCATGAAGTCCTGGGTTTGATTCCTCATACTACATAAGCAGCAAAAGCCAGAAGTGGCGCTGTGGCTGAAGTGGTAGAGTGCTAGCCTTGAGTGAAAGAAGCTCAGGGACAGTGCCAAGGCTCTGAGTTCAAGCGCCAAGACTGGCAAAAAAAAAAAAAAAAGAATATAGTAAGTATTGATAATATGTTGAAGGGGTATTTTGAGTGTTGGGATAAATAAAAATATTAAAAAATATTAAAATTTTATCCTTTTGTTACTAATGGCAATACATTTTTTTGGTGGTATTTGGATACCACTTACTGTTACCTCGCCAGTTTTAGGATTTAAAATGTCAGTACTGTCTTTAGTTCCTTGAAGAGTAGAAATGGCCTTCATTTATATATACTGATCATCATTACAATTCTTTTTATTTCCTTCATTTTTTTGTCGGTCGTGGGGCCTGAACTCTGGGGCTGGGCGCTGTCCCTCAGCTCTTCAGCTCAAGGCGAGCGCACTACCACTTGAGCCACAGCACCACTTCCAGCTTTTTCTGCTTATGTTGTGCTGAGGAATCGAACCCAGGGCCTTATGCATGCAAGGCAAGCGCTCTACCACTGAGCCGCCTTCCCAGCCCTTCCTTTTTTTTTTTTGAGTCCTAGAAATCAAACCCAGGATGTTGTGAATGCCAGAGTTGTATACTCTACCACTAGTGAGTGAGTCCTTGTTTTCTTGAGACAGTCTTGCTATTGTAGTTCAGACTGATACTGAATTGACTATGTATCCCAGGGTGAACTCAAACTCATGATCCTTCTTCCTGCTCCCCAAGTTCTGGATTACAAGTTGTCATAGTTTTTAAATGTAAAAGTAAAAAGATCATTAATATATACATATTACACAAATATGTGTATATATGCCTCTAAATTTTTATTAACTTAGATCAGGAATTTATGGTCAGTATTTTATGCTGTTGTACAATTAGAAATAGCTTTTATGTAAAGGCAGAATGCATTTATTAGTACATTTTAGAGTTAAATAATGAAATATATTAAATGAAATAGACTCCTTAAAGTATAAGACTTCTTTAATAGAGTTCTTTAATTCCATGATTTTTCTCTACCTAGGTATAAGCCATTGAGGCGCAGAGTGATTTGGCTCATTGGTCAGTGGATTTCTGTGAAATTCAAGCCTGACTTAAGACCCATGCTATACCAGGCAATCTGTAACTTGCTTCAAGATCAAGATTTAGTGGTATGTCAGCCACCTAATCAACATCTCAAGACATCAGAAGCTCCTATAAAATGTTCAGAACTTTTTTTTTTCTTTAAAATGGCTTCAAAGTGAAAAGTAATCCTATTACAGATGTGAAAAGTATAGCATATAGCACTTTAGCCAGGGAGTAAGCTTTATATAGATTATTTTATGCATAGGAAACTAGAATTTAGTCATGGCTTGAGTTCCTGTAACTTGATCTAGAAACTATGAGTATGTTACCCTTTGCCAACTTAGCTGAGTAGTTAGGCAAAACTTGAGCAAATAAGGAGATCAGATTGTAATGGTATGATTTACCTAGAAAGCAAGGTGAAATATAAAACAAAATTTGGGAGTTTGTATTTGTGAACTTTGGAATGTAGAAAATCCTTGAGATTTAAGGATTTATGGTATGGACCTTAGATATAGAGTTTGTGTTGTTCACTTTTTCTCCTTCCTTATCGCCTCCTGCCCTTTTCACTTCACGTAGCTGTCCTCCAGCTTTCTCAGATCCATGCTGCTGTTCTGCTTCTCAGTCTTTTCTTCTGGCATCTCTTGTCACTGACCTTAGTCCTCTGCTCTCTATATACTTTATGCCCAGCCTTTCTTTCTGTAAGCACCCTCTGGATTTAAAGACTGTCCATAAGCAAATGAAAGAATACTGTAAAGTGCACAAAGATGAACCTATGAGGGATATCCTTTTATTTCCACATGGTAATGTGATCTATGACTTTAATGTTAACAAAACAGAGTGGTATGTTACCAATTTATTTTTGGTTAAGTACTAAATGTTTAATAGTTCTAGAATGATGAAAAACTCATGCTATACTTTGTTTTAGGTTCGAATTGAAACAGCTACAACTCTGAAGTTAAATATCCTTCTAAAACTTGAACATATTTCATTGTAAAGAAGATTGTTAGCGTTAGCTTCATTCATCGATTTCATTTGTTCATTTATTCATACATGGGGCTAAAAAAATCTATTTATAAGACTTTCAGATGTAGTTTAAAATGATTGTTTAATACTTGGTTTAGGTATATTTTTATTTTGATAAGCTTCATCTTTTAGTTCTCAGTTTTCCTTAACTGCTTTTTTACCTGTTGATGATTTTGAATTTAGAACAGATCAATTTTTACCGGTAAGAGTACTGATTTCCAGATTTTCTAACAGTTTTTGTTAGTATTTTGAACACAAGTATTTTTGTACGTTTGTTTTATTTATGTATATGTGTGTGTGTATGTATATATATATGTAGGGTGAATTTAAAAGAATTTTGGATTATTTTGGAGGACATTACTTTCTCTCTATTCTCAACAGTAAGAGGTTTAAACTCAGAGACTCAGGGTGCTCTTTCATTTGAGCCATACCCTCAGATTTTTTTTGCTTTATTTTTCCAAATAAAGTTTTGTGTTTTTGCCTAGCTTAGCCTGGACTGCACTCCTCCTATTTGTGCCTCCCACAAAGCATGTGCCACCATAGACAGCTTATTTGTTGAGAGATGGGGGTCTCTATTTATTTATTTACACATGCATTATTTGCGTGCTTATGTATACTCCAGTGGCTTAAACTCAGGGCCTTGAGTTCTCACTTAACTTTGCTGCTCAAGGCTAATATTCTTAATGAGTTTTTTTTGGGGGAGGGGGGGCAGGGGGCGGTTGTGGGGCTTGAACTTTTGGCTTAGGTGCTGTCCTTCAGCTCAAGGCTAGTGCTCTACCACTTGAGCCATAGTACCACTTCTGGTCTTCTGGTGGTTTATTGGAGATAAGAGTCTCATGGACTTTACTGCCTGGGCTGGCTTTGAACTATGATCCTCAGATCTCAGCCTCTTTAGTAGCTAGGTTTATAGGCATTAGCCACTGGTGCCTAGCTTAGGCTAACATTCTTTCACTTCCTCTACTTCCTGCTTTTTTTCTGGTTAATTAGAGATAAGAGTCTCAGACTTTTCTGCCTGGGCTGGCTTTGAATCATGATGTTCAGATCTCAACCTCCTAAGTAACCAGGATTATAGGTATGAGTTAACATCAGCCAGCAGAGCAGAACTATTTTGGTAAACTTTTATTAGTAACACTTTGCACATTTATGTTTAGCTATCTGGACGTCTATTTTCCAATTGACTGCCACATTTTTCTTTTCTCCTGATCATAAAATAGGTAGTATTTAAATTTTACATGGGTCTATTACATTTCTACTCTTTTTAAAAATTTTTTTGGTGTCAGTATTGAAGCTTACGCTCAGGGCCTGGGACTCTTGCTCACTCAGGGTTGCCACTCTACCACTTGAACTGTATATCCAATCTGACATTTACTAATTAACTGGAGATGGAGTCTCTTAGACTTTTCTGCCTAGGATGTCTTCAAACCACCATGATCCTCCAGGTAGCTAGGATTATAGGTCTGAGCCACCACACCTAGCTATACTCATATCTTTTTTTTTTTTTTTTGGGTCTGGTTGTGGGGCCTGAACTCTGGGCCTGGGCTCTGTCCCTCAGCTCTTCAGCTCAAGGCTAGCGCTCTACCACTTGAGTCACAGCACCACTTTCGGCTTTTTTCTTTTTGCTTATGTGGTGCTGAGGAATCGAACCCAGGGCCTCATGCTTGCAAGGCAAGCACTCTACCACTGAGCCACCTTCCCAGCCCATATACTCATATCTTTTTACTCTTCATTCAACCCCTAGCACATAGCATGGTGTTTTCACAGAGCTGGTACTTAGACTTAGTAAATATGAAACAGGATTGTAGTTAGTGTTTATTCTTTAGAGGACTAGGTGAGAAGTTACATGATTAAATGTCTTTCTTTGTATACTTGTATCTGTCACATATGGGGGAATTTGTAGGGCACAAATGTATAAGATCTTTAAGGAAATAGTTGCTAAGTTTTGTTTAATGTTATAAATATGTTAAAAAAATTCTATAAAATAGACCCAAATGAAGCTCTTCCAAGAAATTAAAGAACTCCCTCAATAACAAATTAACCAGATATCTGATTAAACAAATGTATGTTTTATGAAAGCTGCTGTGGTGTGTTTTTGTTGTTGTTGTTTGGTTTTAGCTCAATCAGGATAAAAGCTCATTTTTCATTTTCTAATACACTCATTTTTAGAATAACAAACATATATGTACACATGCACAGACAAATGTCTATATGTTAAGGGGCCTTTCAGGTGGCTGTCCATTTGATTGCATTAATTAGTACTCTTTACCTTAATACATAGGTCTTGTATTTCTATGTGATTGACAACATATGTATATGGAAGAATAATGACAGGGCACTGTGAACAGCTTAATTGATAGAATAAAATTTAAACATTTCTTGTTTAGGCAGTCTCTTCTAAATGTTACTCAGTTTGTTGATGGTTACATTTCTGAAATGGATTTATTTAAGCAGTAATAAAAATTTCTCTCTGACCCAGACAGGTTGTTGAAGTATCGTTGAGGATTTGTTTGGCTTTATGTTTTTTCTTCATTGCTTTTGCACTGTGGTTTACTTATTTCCATTTGTGTGTGGAGGAGGTCTTCATATTTGTCTTCTGAGCCTTTTCTTTGTTTCCTGCAGTATTTGGAAAGCGTGTTCACACTCCTTTTTCAGTTACTGCAGCAAGTTACAGAATGTGACACAAAGATGCATGTTCTGCATGTTCTTTCTTGTGTAATTGAAAGAGTCAACATACAGGTAAGTTTGTTGTAAAACAAAAATGTATGTCAGAGTTAAATAAAATGCATATAGAATTTGTTAATATAGTAATGTAATCTTCAGATTAATGTACATTGTTTAAATGACAAAGCATTCTTAATTTCTAACATAAGGGTTGGGATTTCAGTTCTGTATTCAAAATTGACATTTGTATTTAAAGTTTAAAAAAATGAGGAAGAAAATTAAAATGGTAAAATTATATTAACAATGTAGAGGTGTTTAGAAAATAGGATATTTTGTTTTTCTAATCCTGGGCTTTGAACTTTGCCTGGACTCATTTTGCTCAAAGCTAGCACTCTACCACTTGAGCCACAGTGCCTCCTCCAGCTTTTTCTGTGATTGATTGGAGATAAGAGTCTTGCAGACATTCCTGCCAGGCTGGCTTTGAACCGCAGTCCTCACATCTCAGCCTTCTGAGTAGCTAGGATTACAAGCATGAGCTATTGGTACGCATCTAGAAAGTAGAATTTTTGATGTTTTAGAAGCTCCAATTTAGCTTACTAACCTTCAAATTCAATGTTGGAGGGTATAGTTTCAAAAACAAATACAAGTTTTCTTGGTTAGAAAAGAAATTGTTTCCTATTCTAATATACATTTTGCCCATACTTGGTTTAACCTAAAGTTCTTAATAGTTATTTAGCTTCCTTGTTGTCCTTGATTTTTGTGAAAAAATGATAGCTCAGGAAACCACCTTATAATCTGTAACTTTTTATACCCTAATTCATCACTATCTGTACCTTTGTTTGAAAAGCACAAACTTAAGGAGGATGTAGTTCAATGGAAGAACACGTCTAGCATACACAAATCCTGAGGATTCAATCCTCAGCTCCACAACTAAAAAAAGAGGAGCACATTTCCTTTATGGGGTATAAATCAAGTGGTTAGAGCATTTGTTTAGCAGGTTCAGGTATCTGAGTTCAAGGCCCAGTACAGCAAAAATAAAATAGAAAAAATAAAATGGAAAAAATAAAAGAGAAAAAAAAATAAAAAGAAAATAAAAGAGAAAAAATAAAAGAGAAAAACACCAACGTAACTCTGTGAGGTATTAGGGAAAGATGAATGATTTGGAGTTCACAGACATAACTTTACTCTTGGATTTGCTATTTGTGAATTTTGACCCATTGTTGCTTTATTTTTTATTGATAAGAATAGTTATCAAATATGGAGTAAAGACAGTAGATTTAATCTTTTTTTTTTTTGGTCATGGGACTTGAACTCAGAGCCTGGGTGCACTGTCCCTGAGCCTCTTTGCAGTCAAGGCTAGTCAAGAGCCACAGCACCACTTCGGGTGTTCTGGTGGTTAATTGGAGATAAGAGTCTCATGGACTTACTTGGGCTGGCTTTGAACCATGATCCTCAGATTTCAGCCTCTTGACTAGCTAGGATTACAGGTGTGAGCTTCTGTCCCCCAACTAGTTCATGTAAACTTACAGTGTTAAGTGCTTCACATACATATCTCATGTTATCCTCATAGAAACCTTGAGGTGGGAATTAAATTTTTTTTGTCAAGCTACTTGTGGAATTCAGACTTACTGGATTTTTCCAAATGGCAGTTTTTCCACATCATAAGGTAGTCATGACTCAGAAACTTATCACATGCCTTTAAATTATATAGAAAGTAACAGTTATCCTAATGAATAAACCATGCTAAATAATATACTAAATATCAGTAAGTGAGACACATTACTTTGTGGGAAATGGATTTTTTTTTTTAATCTACTGTATATAGATGCAATATAAGCAACAAATTCAGTTGTTGCCTTCATCATCACCATCATAAAAGATCAGGAGCGGGAGGAGAAAGAGCCAGAGGCCATTAACACAAAAGGAATAAAATGGTACAAACTTAAACTTTTTTTTTTTAATATACTAGGATCATTCTACTTGAGGCTAATTGAAGAAATTTTTCTGTGGTGGAATCTGAGATTTTAGCCTCTGGATGAGATGGTCATACAAGTCTGGTTCTGTAGCATGAAGTGCTATCCCAATAACTGGAACACCTCCACAAGGAGGAAGGTTCTTACTGGTCATAAATGCCCAAGGCAATGTTATCAAGCCTTCCTGTACTGTTGGCATTTTGCTTGGGACTTAATAGTGCTCTGATTCTCAGTAAATTACTATTTTCCTAATAGAATTATTTTGTTTTCCCTTCTGTTATGATAGATACGACCGTATGTAGGATGTTTGGTGCAGTATTTACCTCTTCTTTGGAAGCAGAGTGAGGAACACAATATGTTGAGATGTGCTATTCTGACAACACTTATTCATCTTGTTCAGGTAAGTCACTTTGCCATAGAGTTTCTTAGTTTTCTTGTTCTTAAGTTTTTCATTGTCTTAATTTGATTTATCTTACTGGTAGTGAAAGTTTTCACATTTTAAAACTATGTCATCTAAACAGTTTTATAGACAACTTTTGTTTACTTTTTGTGTGCATTTGAGAAATTCTATGCATTGTAATGGAGATTTTTTCCCCCCAAGACTGTTGAAAGCGTGTGTGTGTGTGTGTGCGCGTGTGTGTGTTGTGTATATATATATATGTATATGTGTATATATATGTGTATGCATACATTTATATGTATAAAATTATTTCATTATTATTACTTATTTTTTTGCCAGTCCTGGGGCTTGAACTCCGGGTCTGGGTGCTGACCCTGAGTTTTTTGCTTAAGGCTAGCACTCTACCACTTGAGCCACAGCTCTACTTTTATTTTTTTTCCCTCTTTTGGTAGTGAATTGGAGGTAAGAGTCTTAGGAGCTTTCCTGTCCAGGCTGCCTTTGAACCTCGATTCTCAAACCTCAGCTATTTTTTTGCATACAATCTTCTCATCCTTTAACCCCCTATATTAATCATTTTATTTTCTTAGTGTATATGTTCATATTTATTTTGCAGTAAATTATAAGAAATTTGATGGCTTAAAAAAAAATCCTTCTATGGTGGATGCAGTGAGTCATGTCTGTAACTGTAGCTATTTGGGAGGCAGAGGTAAGAATGTCAAAGTTTGAGGCCAGACCCTGAAAATATAATGAAAGACCATATCTCAGAAACAAGCTTGAACATAGTGGTGCATGCTAGTGGCCCTAGATTCTCTCAAGGCCAAGGTAGAAGGATCCCAGTACAAGCCTCTTCTTGGGAAAAGTTTAAGGCTTTTTCAACTCAAGCATGAGAGCTTGATGTTAATTCTTAGTACTGCCAAAACAGAAACAAACCAAAAGCATGTAAATCATCTGTTTTATTAGCCTGTGGATTTTTTAAGTAAGAAATCTGTCATGGCATGTCCAATGTCTGTCATCAGTGTTTAGCAGGCTGAAATTGAAGCTATATGCCAGACTCTCCCCTGGAGGCTTTGGGGTAGAGTTGATTTGTACACTTTTCCAGCTTTATGGTGGAATTCAATTCCTTGAGTGTTGGGCTGAGATCATAATTGACTTGCTAGCTGTTAGTTGGGGGCCCCTTTTACATATTTTGGCTCCATCTTTGACAGGTCCTTTTAGGAACATGTTAAATCTCCTGATTTCTTGTATTTTGGGAGTTTAATTATGTCTTCATAGTGGTATCTAGAGTGTTGGATGAATAGTGGGGAAAGGATGTATTTGTGAAAAGCCAAAGAATCTTAGGTGATCATCTTAGATTCCTTTTTAATTGGACCTATACTTTTCACCTTTTTTCTAAACAGTCCTTCATCATGAACACACTTAATAGGTGCTTTGCTACTTTTATTGTCTTACATAAATAAATAAGTAGTTTTATTTTTGCTTGGACTTACTTTCTGCTGTGTATATTTGTTACAGTTCATCCTTCTCACTGCCATGAAAAGGATTCCTCTTGCCTATGTATTCTGCTTGATTTCTGTCTTGTGTCATTGTTATCTTGCTTAATTCTCTATTTCAGGTAATACCCATGAATGTCATTTATATTCTGCAAAAGATAGTGGAAGGCAGCTTTTTGGGGAGATTTTTTTACATATATTAAATTGTCTTTGTTCTACTTGTACATAAATAAATAGTTTAGCCACTCAAATTTAGAGACATTTTACCATTACCTAATATATAGTTTTTGAAGGTGCTCTAGAAATCCTAAAGTTATTCTAATTCTCAATTGTATTATCCTTTCTTCTTTATGACAGTTTGTATATTTATCTCAGTATTTCTGTTTTCACTTTCATGGTGATGTGGCTGTGATTTCATCGCAGTGTTTGGCCACATGGTAGACATTTTAAACTGTAAATTCACATCCTTGCATTTAGATAACTCTATTGTATTTTATTGGGTTTTCCCTTTCTGTTTGTTTCCTTTCTATCTTTTTAAATTTTTTGTTACTTAGATGGTGGATATTCTCAAGTTGTCCTCATTTTCTTACAGTTTATTTTCTTCTTTTTCTTACTTTTGTGTGTTTGCTCTGGGAGATTCCTCAACCTTATCTTTGAACTTTTTTGTTGACTTTTTTGTTTTTCCCCTACTATCACTTTTAATGTCTAGGAGTTCTTTTTATTGAGAAATCATTTTGTGTATTTTACTTTTGTTTAATGACGACAGTATTTTGTTCTACCAAGGATATTATTAGTGATTGATTTTTTTCCAAGCTTTCTTCTCTGCTTGGTCTGTTTTCTTCAATATACTTCGTGTGTTTCCTTGTTGTTCATATTAGATACTTTATTTATATCTGTTAATCTTTGGTTGCCTGCTTTTATTTACTTTCTGTTATGAAAAATTTGAAGTGAAAGAAGGAAGTATAATACATCTATAAACATTTCTAAACTTCAACAACTATCAATATCTTGTCTGTCTACCTTAGCAGTGAGCAGTAAAGCTGAGTTGAAAGGTGAGTGAAGAAGGAAGTTTGACGTTTTGTAGCTTTATTTCTTTAGGATGTTACTATTTTGATGTTTTTCCTAAGTAAAGCATATTTCAGTTTCCTACCTATTACAAGTTAATCTTCTCAATTTTTATCATGCCCTACCTGGTATTTCCTTGTCTTAAGGCCATTTGTTTTATCCTATTAGAAAATAAACAGTTATTTTATGCTAGTTCTGAGGAGAGCAGTTTTCTATGTGCTTTTGGATATAGATGCTTTTTAGCTGGCACCTGGCCTTTTTTTTTTTTTTTTTTTTTTAAAGTAATCAGGTGCCAGTTGATGGTGGCTTGCACCTATAATTCTTAGTTACTCAGAAGGATGAGATCTGAGGATCTGGGTTGCATCCAGCCCAGGCAGAAAATTCCTCCAGATTCCATCTCCAAATAACCAACAAAAAAGTGGATTAGAGTCATGGTACCAGCCTTGAGCAAAAAAGAGGCAATTTCCAAGCCTTGAGTTCAAGCCCTGGTACTGGGATTAAAAATGAGAAAGTAGTCAGGGTACCACTGGTTTTGTTTTTTTTTTTTTTTTTATTGTAAAGCTACTATACAGAGGGTTACAGTTACATGAGTGAGGTTATGAGTACACTTCCTCTTGAACATTGTTACCACTGGTTTTGAATGGGGGTAAAACCAACGTCAAGAAAATCAATTAAGATATTCTTCTGTTAAGGATTAAAAAAAAAAAAAAAGATGTTAAGGACCTGACTTAATGCTATGGAAAGAACAGGAAAATTTTGAAAAAAAAGTAAACGTATAGAATTAAGGCTTAAATAGCTGTGGAATAGATAAGGCAGTAAGAAGGAACTGGTTGACAGACAGTGGTTCATGTCATGTGAGTTAGAAATGTATGAAAAGGAACAGTTTTTTAGGGAAGGGGATGTGTTAGTTCAGTCAAGAGTTCGAGAGGCCTTCTGGTAATGTTGTCTTGTAGTCTGATGATTCAAATGTGTGATGTTTAGAAAATTCAATTGTAGATTATAGACTTATACCTGATCAGTGTGTTCTTGAGACAAAGCTAAACACTGTCTGAGAAAGACTAAATATCTAGAGGGTACTAGTTCCATTATTTCCCTTAAAATTTCACAGATAGTTCAGTTTTTCCCTTAATCTTTATATAATTATAGTTGAATGTGATTCTCTCCCTTCAGTCACTTCTGATAGATTTTTAAAAGAAATTTCATGTTAAAGGTGATGTACAGAAGGGTTACAGTTACATGATTCAGGTAATGAGTACGTTTCCTTCCTCATTCCCTCCCAGTTTTTCCCCGCCTGACTTCTCTCCCCCCAAAGTTGTATAGTTAATTTATAGTGTGTCTAATGAACTTAGGGCCTAGATGATGTCCCTGAGCTTTTTCATTCAAGGCTGGTACCACTTGAGCCACATCTCCATTTCTTACTTGTTGATCATTAATTGGAATCACAGACTTTCCTGTCTAGTCTGGCTTTTAACTGTGATCCACAAGTTTTAGCCTCCTGAGTATCTAGGAGCCATAGGCACTGGCTCTAATAGTTTTCTTAAGAATTGATTAGTTTTACTTATAAGCATCCATAGTGTCCTGTGTAGCATCTAATATTTACTGTGGGTTCAAACTGTATTCCAGTTTATTTAACTCTGTATGTTGGGGACCACTAGATTACCAGGTATGGAATTTCATGACTTTGACTAAAAAACTTACATGTTTATCATTTGTTTAGTTTAGTTTTGGTAATGTTAGCAAATTTTGCCTATTTGACTCGGTATTTGAATTAGTACATTCTAATTTTCCTAGGAAATTTTCTACTTGGTAGTGTAAATGAACTTGACTAGTTTTTAATTCCCTCCCTCTTTCCTCTCTTTTGTAAATATTGAGCTGTGCTGAATGGCATTTAATTGAGTTTTTAGGTCCTATACTCATTTATTGGCACTTGAATTGTTGTTTTGAAAAAACTCTTTACTAAGTTCTTCCAAATTATTGTTGTATTAGAGAAGCTTTTTCTAATTGGAGAAGTTGATTTAAAAATAAACATTGCAGGGCGCCAGTGCTCATGCCTGTAATCCTAACTACTCAGGAGACTGAGATCTGAGGATTGTGGGTCAAAGCCAGCCCAGGCAGGAAGTCCATGAGACTTTTTATTTCCAATAAACCACCAGAATACTGGAAGTGGTGCTGTGGCTCAAGTGGTAGAGTGCTAGCCCTGAGCTGGAGAGCTGAGGGACAGTGCCCAGGCCCAGAGTTCAACCCCCACAACCGACCAAAAATAAATACATAAATAAATTTCTTGTATGTCTATGTAAATGTTTATGCTCCACAGATAAAGATGAACTGAAAGGAAAATATTGCAAGATCTCATACATGAATCTAAAAAGGTGGAACATAGTAAAAAAACAAAGTAGTGGCTGCTAAATGTCAGAGATGTGAAGTTTGCAGTTTTAGTACAGCAGGAGGAAATTATAGGAATTCATCGTATAGCATGTTGACTATAGTAAATATAAACAAACAAACGGAATTGAGTTTGCAGATGTTACCAAAAGGGTTATATATATTTATTTTGTGGCATTGTAATTTGTTATAAACTGTTGACATTGTACTTTGTAAGTGAAGAGATGTTTAATAGTTCATTTGATTTCCTTCCTGTGTTTATTATAGAGATTATTATGGCATAGAGATAGAGTTTTTAATTCTTTTTATTTCCTTCTAAAATATCACTACTGTTATATACCCAGTCAATCTCTCATGAGACAGCAGCAGGTAAACTATAATTTTCAATTAAACCCCTTTTACTTCCTCCATCTTTATATGTTCAGCTCATTAAAATACAATGCAAGTTCTTTTTTTTTTTTTTTTTGGGTCCAGTCATGGGGCCTGAACTCTGGGCTGGGCGCTGTCCCTCAGCTCTTCAGCTCAAGGCTAGCGCTCTACCACTTGAGCCACAGCGCCACTTCTGGCTTTTTTCTTTTTGCTTATGTGGTGCTGAGGAATCGAACCCAGGGCCTCTGGCATGCAAGGCAAGCGCTCTACCACTGAGCCACCTTCCCAGCCCCACAATGCAAGTTCTTAATTACACATAGTGTGTACATATTTTTTAAAGATCACACACAAAAGTTAAAAAATACTTTTGCTTCTTCATCTTTCTTCCTTTTCCTATATATACCTGGTTTTTCTATTTGCTTTCAGAAACATTTTATGCATATACTAAATATATAGGTATATTTTTAAGTTCTTTAACATAGAATTGTTAGGTACATTTCTGTATCTTTTTTTTTTTATTCCATGCCAAATTCTTTTTCATGGCTACTGGTATTCTAAAATAGGATATGCTGTAATTTGATTTTTCATTGCCATTTAGGATGAATTCATTTTCCATTTATCATTTAGAGGAGAATACTTATACAATTTAAAAAACCGGTATTAATACCTCTTCTGTAGTCATAAGGAAGGCTAAACATTGCCAATCTGGAATTTGAAATGTTCTAAAATATGAAATTTGTTTCATTGATATGATACTCCACAGGCAATTCCCTGTCTTACCTGATGTTATAGATCACAGTAAAAAATGGTGATACACTATAAACATTGCATACAGTTATCTTCAGGATATGTATATAAGAGATATATAAAACATAAGTTAATTTTAAGTTTAGATTTGTGTCTTGTTTCCAAGATACTTCATTATGTATGTTGCAAATATTCTAAATGTCCATCCCCTCACCCCAAAAAAACAATCAGAAACAAGAATCACTTCTAATCCCACTGATTTCCAATAAGGGATACTTAACCTGTATGTGGAAGTGCTTTAAATGAACTCGTGGCATACATGTTTTTGCAGCTATTAGGCAGTTGAACAATATTTTTTGAACCTTACTTTCTAGTAACTAATAGAAATAACTTTGTTTTACTAGTGTCCATAATCAAGACTACCTTAAACAACACAAATATTTTAGTTTTTATAAATTGGTTTCCTTTCTTTTCTATGTTAGGTTACTTTTTGGTGTGGGGGAGGGACCTTAGAGTGTCTTATCATAAGTTGTATTTATACTTCCCATAGGGATTAGGAGCAGACAGCAAGAACCTGTACCCTTTCCTGCTCCCAGTTATCCAACTGAGTACAGATGTTTCCCAGCCTCCACATGTCTATCTTCTGGAAGATGGTTTAGAATTATGGTAAGAGGAAATCCTTGATACCATGGATTTTTTTTTTCTTTACCTGGCCTTCCCTCTTTTCATGCCAATAAAGGTCATGTAAGGCATTAAATATTCAGCACTTAAAAATAAGTATGTCAAATTGTTTTCCCTAAATGGGTAAATAACTCCTTTTGGCAGCTGCCTCTCAGTGAACGTTTATGATAGACAAAGTTAAACATGCAATTGTTGTAGGAACTCTGCTGGATTCCTTCTTTTGGAATTTGGCATGTAAATAGGAATCTTGGTAGATTTCTTAAACTAAAGATTGCCTTAAGATTTACAGTCTGTGAAATGACATGTTTTGAAGGTATTGAGTTATTTTTTGTATTCTTTATCTCAATCCATTAAGTATTTAATGGATTGTTACTCAACCCCAAATGCTAGTGCTACTGACACTGTGGATTTATCTGAGTAAGTAGTATATAATGTTTAAGGTTTTAAAATAAAAAAACTAAACACTTTACTTCATGGCAACTTAATGCTACACTTATTGACTATCCACCATGTGTGGATAGTCTACAAAATTCCTTTGGCCTTATTCAATTCGTCTTGTCTATGGTAGCAGTTTTCTTGAGATTCAATCTTTGAGGAGGGGGTATTGGGTTTGAATTTAGGGCCTCATGCTTGGTAGGCAGGTACTCTAATTGCTTGAATCATGCCCTGAGTACTTTATTGCTTTGTTTTTCCAGTAGGGAATATGTTTTTTTTGCCTAAAGGTGGCCCAGATCTTGATTCCTGTTTAGCTGAGATAATAGGCTTGAGTTTCTTTGCCTGGCTTATTTGTTGAAATGGGGGGTGTTGTTGGTAACTTTTTGTTTAGGGCTTTGGCCTGTGATGCTCCTGGTTTCTGTCTCCTTTTTGCTAGGATAATATAGTCTTGAACCACTATGCCTGGCAATAGAAAAATCTTTGAATAATATATGTGAAATTAAAAAATGCCAGTATAAAAATAGATTGCTGTAATGTTTTTAAAAATCACAGAAATCAACCATAGGAAAAAAATGAGCATTTTTTGCTTTCCCTCTTTCTTTTCTTCCCTTCTATTTTTCCCTAGATTTCTAACTATTAAACATTTTGAATCTTGAGAATTGTATGTATATAAATCAACAAGTTATAAATTATCTGTATTAGAGTACTAGATGAAGGATTTTAAGATATAACTAGGTAGATGCTAATGTGCAGTGTTTCTTCTGTTTGAAATTAAATAGTTTGTAGATAGTTGGGTTATAAATTAACACATTGTTGAAATCTTATACTGAAGTATTTATATTTTATGAGTATGAATTGCCCTGGATTAGAAGTTAATACATTTCTTTTTTTGTTTTGTAAAGGACCTAGAAGTCAATATTTTAAGTGTTGTAGGCTGTGTAGTCTCTGTTACAGATACTCAACTCTGATGTTTTAGTTCAAAGCAATTGTAAGTCTATATACAAATGAATAGACATGGCTATGGTCCTAATAAACATCATCTACAGAAAATTGGATGTGAGTTGAATTAGGTCACGTCTTTCAGGCTGTTGAGTACTTGTTTTAGATTATAAATTAAAATATTAAACACTATCACATAAATAATTTTTATAAACATGCACACATTGTATTGTGTTGAACATTAGAAAAATTTTAAATATTATAGAAAGGTAGAATCAGATTTATCAGTTCACAGACATTAATGTGTTTGTTAGAGGTAGATACATTTTCAAAGGGTTATGAAAACAAAGTAATTACAAAAATGCTTTGCTGTGTTAATTGTACTTTTTCTGTTGCCTTAAGTTACATGTGCAAATGCAAAAGTTTCTATCAAAGATGGGAAAGGGATTGTGATAAATAGTCAAAATACTTTAAGTACATCTCTGAAAATGCAACAAGGAAAGTTCATGAGATTGATTTGAGAAGGGGGCTTGGGGAAGATAGAGAATGATGGAGGTTGTGATTATGATTAAGATACATTGTGTACACAAATGGACTTGTTAAAATGGAATCTTCCTCTACAACTAATTGATGCTAATTACAAAGGTTTAGCCCATAGAAAATTACAGAGCTTATTAATAGTTACGTTAATTGTTATTAATATAAGTTAAAGAATCAGGCACAAATTTCTTCATATATTTTTCTTGATAGGTTGAAGCTTATCTTTGGAAACGGATATAATTTCTAGTCATATTACTGCATTCAGTTTGTGATTTACTTTATTACTTCTGTGAGCCTCAGTTTCCTTGTCTGTAACATTTGGAAAAATAATCCCTACCTTTCATAGTTATGGTGAGGATGAGATAGTGGTGGCTAAAGTGGTCAGCACTTGCTATTTTGTATGTAAAGCCCATGTCAAAGTTTGCTGGAGAGCAGAGAGGAAAGGGGTTGTGAGGTGAGGAGTGGAGGCGAATATTCTGTCCATGAAAGAACCCTAATACATTTAAAACGTTTTGAAGATGCAAGAGGACGCATCTAGAAAGACAGAGAAGAGCTGTTATAATAAGAGAACCAATTCAAGAGAGGGTATTTCTAGAAGAGGAATATTTATTCCAAATATTACTGATTATTCTAGTAATATAGTACAGAGAAATGAATTTATCCAAATGGAGACAGTGGGAGAAGTTTTTGGTCAGTAGGAACCAAAATTAGAATCAAAGCATATTGCAGAGAAAATTGGAGATGTATCAGTTTAGATTGAGCACCAGCAACTTGTTTGAGGGTTTTACTGTTAAGAAAGATAAGCACTGATGCCCCATGCCTGTAATCCTAGCTACTCTGGAGGCTGAAATCTGGAGGATTGAAGTATGAAGCCAGCTGTGGTAGAAAAGTTAGTAAGATTCCATCTCTAAAAATAACCAGCAGAAAGCTGGCTGGCTGCATGGCTCAACTGACAGTGCCAGCTGAGCAAGCGGAAGACCAAACCTTGAAACAAGGATATAAAAGTAATATAGAGGGCTGGGAAGGTGGCTCAGTGGTAGAGCGTTTGCCTTGTATGCCTGAGGCCCTGAGTTTGATTCCTCAGCACCACATAAGCAAAAAGAAAAAAGCCGGAAGTAGCGCTGTGGCTCAAGTGGTAGAGTGCTAGCCTTGAGCTGAAGAGCTGAGGGACAGCACCCAGGCCCAGAGTTCAGGCCCCACGACCGGACCCAAAAAAAATAAATAAATAAAGGTAATATAGACTGTATGGCTGATGTGGGGAATGCCAGCTCTAGAGGAAGATGGAGGCTGAATCAAGAGAGTGGGATAATTGAAGGAAGCAAAGAGGAATAGGAATCAGCTCAAGTAGATGGGTTGAATTTGATAGTTCCAGGTATACTTCATGTTCACTGGTTGGAGGAAAGTGGATTTCCATATTTTATAGTTCAGTGACCTAGGAAAATATTTGATGTATTGCCTTGTATTTTCTAACTAAAATAAGGAGCCATGGACACGAGGTAGCAGTTATGGGCTAGAATAGGCATGGATACAAGACACAAGTCTGTGAAGGAGCAAAGTTATAAAGAATGGGAATTTGAGCTTATTTTGGATAACCAGTACCAGTTATTTTTGTGATCATGGATATAAAATAAAACTCTCAAACCCAATGTGATTTTTTAAAAAAATAGCTCTTTATTTTACTCTTGCCCCCTTCCGCTTAGAGATTTGTGACATAATCAAATTTGGGCTTTGATTCTTTGTTTTCCATTTATTAATTTCTGCTACTGCTGCATTATTTCCTCTTTCTGCTTGCTTCCATTTTTTTTTGGTCATTTTAAGAATTAGCTCCTGAATGTATAGTGATTATTTTCAATAGCTATAAATTGTTTTTTTTAGCACAATTGGAACTAAAGGTCTTTTATACATTTTTTTGTATTACTAGGTTTTTTTTGTTTGTTTTTAATCTCCAGGAAAGACAGTGAGATAATGAATACTGGAAGCAATAAGCAATGTCAAGCACATAACATTAAATGATGATCCTCATCATTTTAAAAAAAAGAACAAAACAATTACTTTGAGTTTTTTGTCATATACATTTTCTTTAAAAATTATATTTTTCTTTTAAAAAGTTTTTAAGAACTCTTGATTTCCTAAAATAATTTATTTGCTAATTTTATTTTTCCACTATTTATAAGTGAGGTAGATCTATGATCCACCCTTTGATGCTGCTTGATTTGTATCGTTTATATTTATTTTACCAATTTAACATTTTTCTTTTTTAACTGACATTTATTAAATTTACCATAGTAAGGGTTTCATCTAGACATTTGAATTTATGCATATAATGTACTTTGATCATATTTCCTCCCTTACTTTTGTTATTACCCTCTTTCCACTTTTATTTTACCTTCCTAAGAGACATTCTTACTTTTATAACCTTAGTTATTTTGTTTTGTTTTTTGGGGGGAGTAGGGGTGTTGTTTTCTCCTAATTTCCACAAGTGGAAGAAAATTGTGATACTTATCTTAATGAGAATGGCTTATTGACTTAATGTGATCATTGTTAGTTTTATCCTTTTCCCTGCAAGTAATCATTCTTCTAAATGTCTTAAATTCAATTCTAAGGCATATAGGTGTACCACATTTTCTTTATCTTCTTTTGATGGGCAGCTCTGTTCATTTTAAACTTTGGCTAATGTAAACATGAATATACATGGATACATAGGTATCACTCTAGAATGGTGAGCTTGCTTCTTCTGGCTATTTTCCCAGAAGTGGTATAGTTTGATCATATGATAGATCTGCTTTTAATTTTTTGAGAAACTGCTATATTTATGTCCAGAGTGGCCAAACTAGTTTTCATTCCCACTAGCAATGAAGAAGAGTTCTTTTTCCCATAGTCCTAATGATTTGTTTTCTTGAAACATATTATGTAAATCAAAAAATACAATGATTTACATTTATTGTTTTAAATTTTTACATTGAATTTTATCTGATATTAACACTATGGTTTGTTTAGATTTGATTTAATGTCTTTGCTCATTATTTATATTTTATTATATTTATTATATTTTATTCTTACATAGAACAATTTTTAATTGTGTTTTACCTTCACCAAAGCTGTTTTACTTTAATATCTTTGAGTTGATAGTCTCTTTTTATTTTGTCCTATTTTGTTTTGGAAGATTGGCATTAGCTTTATTTTTCTGTAGTCAAAGATATTCTTACATATAACTACTCTCACTTTGATCAAAATGGTAATTTTCATTTTATTTTAATGGTAATAAATAGTGTTTTGATTATTTTTGTTCATTTTTTAATCCTCACTAATTTCGTCTAAAATTGCTTACTATGTCATTTTCTTTTTAAATAGTTTAAATTCAAAGTCTTCCCTGCCTCTGTTTTGAATAGTAAGATTTACACTATGAAAGCTAGCATGGGAAATCAAGTGACAACATGAATGGTCTTTTCACTAAAGGAATGATGAAACAGAAAGGAAAGAACAAGCTACAAATAGAATCTTAGTTTGGACATGATGACAGGAGAGTACTGCATTTTCTGTTCTCTTTGCTAAACACATTACTATGGTACTACAGTAAGCCATAGTATCTGATTATGCAAGTATCTTTCCTTCACCTAAACCCCTGATGACACATAATTTTTTTTTCTTGAAAAGTTTTTTGTTTACTCTTGGCCCTCCAGATTATTTTACCATTAGTTTGCCTATTTTCCAGGTATAACCACGTAGAAGTTGTATTTAAAACTATTGTGATTCTGTTTTGCAATTTCCAGAGCATTGGCATCCTTGTGATGTTGGATTTTAGTATCTGACAGATAACATCACTCATTTATATCAACTGTTTTGTTTATAAAGGCATTTTTCTCTTTATTTAGTAGTCTTGTGGAACTCTCAGTACTTTGAGTTACTTGTTGATCGATTCTTTCTTTTGTCTATGTCTTGTGATTAAAAGACTAACTTTTTCTTCTCTTACCTTTTTAACTTTTTTTTTTTTAACTTGGTATATAAGAGGCCTTCCAAACATAACACTGAAGGTAATGTGGAAGTAGACAAGGTAAAACGAATTGTTCTTAAAGGCTTCCTTCTGCCTCTTGAGAGAATGGCTTCAACGAATCCTCAGTAAATGTATTTGTTTAGATGTTTGGTAGATACTTTCTTTGGTAGCTACTAGGTTAACGAAGTTCTTTCCTATTCATAATGATATGAAAGTCTTTGTTTCTACATTAGCTTTCTATTACTTTAACGGACTCTTGAAATCATTAACTTATAGAGAGAAAGCTTATCTTTGGCTCACAGTTTTGGAGATTTCAGTCCCCACTAATTTTTCCCGTTACTGTGGGCATTGGTGGCACAGTCAATTATTACAAAGGTATATGGCAGAGGAAGCCTGTTAACTTCATGGCAAGTTGTGAAAGAGAGGAATTAATGATATCCATAGCCCCACTTCTTTAAGGCCATGACTCCAGTGGTTTTAAACTTCTTAATAGGCCTTTCCTGTTTAAAGGTTTTCACCACCTTCCAGAAGTGCTGTGCTGGGGACCAAGTCTTTAGCACGTGTCTTTGGAGATATTCCCAACCCAAACAGAGCACTACTAATATTAGATTTTGGACAGCTTCCTCCTCCCCCGTCCCCCTTTCTTTTTTATTTTGTTTTTGGCCAGTCTTGGGGCTTAAACTGAGGGCCTGGGCACTGTCCCTGAGCTTCTTTTTGCTCAAGGCTAGCATTCAACCACTTGAGTCACAGCACCACTTCCGGCTTTTTTCTGTTTATGTGTACAAAGGAGTGGAACCCAGGGCTTCATGCATGCTAGGCAAGCACTCTACCACTAAGCCACATTCCCAACCCTCCCTGGTTTCCTTGATGCTATTGTTTTAGTCTCAGTATTGTCCCTTTTTTCTCCCTTAGGTAAGACTTTTCTATATTTTATGTCTATGTGTTAATGGCATTAAGGCACTGAAGGTGAATTATCATGTTTTTTTCTTCCTAGGTTAGTTACATTGGAAAACAGCCCGTGTATTACACCAGAGTTGCTTCGGATATTTCAGAATATGTCACCACTTCTTGGTATGTGTAAAAGCATAAACTACTGATGTCTTTAATATAGCCAAACTTTGGGGCTATTGTAGCTAACTTTAAATTCTACCTTCCATTTTTATAAAAGTCCTTGGGATTGTCAAGTAATTTGAGTAGTTATTTTTTTTATAGTTTCTAAAGTTTTCAGTGTAATCTTTTGGAATAAAAATCTTGGTCCTGGTAGAAATTTTGTAATAAAAACAAAAAATCTTAAGAGATTGATTACAGATTAAGCTTGATCTTTTCTGCTAAAATTTGTTTGAGGAGTTCTATATTCTGATTAAAAAGTATAAAACTGCTTCTGGACATTATGGTTTTATCCAATTTGTTTTACAGAGGAATTCTGTGCTACTAATTTTTCAAAAATAAGTTTTGTATATACTTCTGTATTTGCCAAGGAACCACTGAAATGGGATATTAGAAGGATATATATATGTTTATGAATGTATATAAATATGGATGTATGTAGTTTTAAATACTATTTATGAATGAACTATATAATAGGAAAGCTTAATGGATCACTCCGCTTCTCCACCCCCACTATACACACGTTTGTTCTTTCACTAAGTCTTCAAGCTGCTATTTATTTATTTATTTATGCATTTATTTACTTATTTTTTTGGGGGGGGGGTCCGGTTGTGGGGCCTGAACTTTGAGCCTAAGCTCTTCAGTTCAAGGCTAGCACTCTACCACTTGAGCCATAGTGCCACTTCTGGCTTTTTTCTTTTTGCTTATGTGGTGCTAAGGAATCGAACCCAGGGCCTCATGCATGCAAGGCAAGCGCTCTACCACTGAGCCACCTTTCCAGCCCCTGCTATTTAATTTTTTTTGTTGTTGTTTGAAGTCAGAGCCTGTAGTGTGCTAGACAATAGCTCTACCACATAAAACATGCCACTGCTCCTTTTTTTTTTTTCCCTTAGCAGTACTGTGATTGACTTCACAGCCTCATGCTTGCTTAAGTAGGCATTGTACTATTTGAGTCATAACTCCAGTCCTTTTTAGATTATTTTGTTTTGTTTTGGTGTCAGTCCTGGGGTTTCATTTTAGGGCCTAGATGCTATCCCTGATCTCCTTTTGCTGAAGGCTAGTACTTTACCACTTGAGCCAGAGTTCCACTTTCAGCTTCTCTGGGGGAAGCTTATAAGCAATAGGAGTCTCATGGACTTTTCCTCCTGGGCTGGCTTAGAACCTCAATCCTCATATATCAACCTCTTGAGTAACTAGGATTATAGGCATGAGCCACTGACACCCAACTTACTTTGGTTATTTTTTAGATAGGGTCCTGCCCTTTGTCATAGGCTGACTTGGAACTGTGATACTCCTATCTCTCTCTACCTTTGGAATAGCTGAGATTATAGGAATACAGCTTGGTACTCCACTCCTTCTCCTAAGACATTTGAGCAAACACCTTTTTTAAAAAAAAAATGTATTTATTGTGAAATACCGTACACAGGGATTACAATTACATGAGCAAGGTAATGAGTACAAGTTGTCTTCTCCTTTGTTTTCCCTTACCATCCTTTGTACTGGGTACTAAATCCTTTTGAGGTTTAACTAGATGGTTTTCTAAGTAAGTGTTCTGATGATAGATAATAATCATTACTTTTTTATTTTGCATATTAGCTACTATTCTCAATTATATAATAACTTAATTCCCTCCCCTGACACACCTCACACTCTTGTGGTGCTGGGTTTATGCCCAGGGCTTTACTATTTTATGCTCTCCCACTGACTATATCCCAAGCCTTAAATTTTTGATTTTTAAACAATACTTTGATTATAGAGTTGTTTCGTATGAGAGTTTGCCAGTACAGCTTCACACCTAAATTTGGCTTATTTAAAAAATTATACATAGTGCAAACTAACTGCTTTTTTATTCTTTTTCAACCTGCAAAATGTTACCTGCTTATTGCTTATTCATAAACTATTTTCAGTATCAATTTATGTTCGCATCTAGGGGTCCCATCAATGAAGTATTTTAAAACTTTGATGTTAGCTGAATAGTTTAGTGTTATACTGAGCAGGCATTTATGTAGAAAAATATGTAATTATTAATAACAATATCTGAGTATATTTTGAGAACTTAATTGTACTGAGAAATTTTATCGTATGCAAAATTATTACTAAGGTTTATCAGCACATTGAAAAAGCAAAACCACTCTTTGGAATTATTAGCAAATAAGGATTAACACACAGTTGTACCTTAACAATGAAAATCTCATCATCATTTGATTATCTTAGTGTCCAGATAATGTGATTAACTCTTAATATTTTTTTGAGGCAGTCTTTCTCCTTCTTTCTTCCCCTTCTTCTTTCCTTCTCTGTCTGTGTGTCTGTCTGCCTGCCTGCCTGTCTGTGTGTCTGTTGCCTCCCCTCTTCATTGTGGCATGTATATTTGTATATATATTTACTTTAAAAATTATAAATCACATCTATGTATGTTTATCTTAGTATCAGTGTTAACTTGATTTTTGAGTGTTGTTTCAGTAATTGTTATCATTTGCTAGGAAGCTTTTTATATACATAACAATTTCAGATGTTTTTAATACCTTTTTTATTTTCTTTAAGTAGTTGTACACAGGGATTGCAATTTAACAAAGCAGTTTATGAATAAAATGTACCATCCCTTTCAACATTTGACCCACCCCTTTCTACCCACCTCTTCCCTTACTTTTCTTTTTTTTTTTTTGGTTGGTCGTGGGGCTTGAACTCTGGGCTTGGGCACTGTCTCTCAGCTCTTCAGCTAAAGGCGAGCACTCTACTGCTTCAGCCACTTCTGGTTTTCGAGTGGTAAATTGGAGATAGGACTCTCATGGTCATTCCTTCCTGGGCTGGTTTTGAACCATGATGCTCAGATCTCAACCTTCTGACCAGCTAGGATTACAGGTGTGAGCCACCCGTGCCTGGCTCCCTTACTTTTCTTTATTTTTTTGGTGGGGTCCAGTTGTGGGGCCTGAATTCTAGGCCTGGGCGCTGTCTCTCATCTCTTTAGCTCAAGGCTAGTGCTCTATCACTTGAGCCACAGCGCCACTCCTGGCTTTTTTCTTTTTGCTTATGTGGTGCTGAGGAATCCAACCCAGGGCCTCATGCATGCAAGGCAAGCACTCTACCACTGAGCCACCTTCCCAGCCCATACTTTTCTTAATTTTATATACATTGCAATCTTGACTGCATTTTCCCCCCTTCTCCTCTTCATTGTTCTACCCCTCTCTTTTGATCCCAACATCACCCCTTGTAAGTACTCATTTCCTAGTGTTTGTTTTTTGGGGCTTTGACTTTGCCTTTCTAAAGAATTACACTGTTTCAGTTCTTTCTTAAATTAACCATATTTCAGTTAATACATTTGTAAATACTTGCATTCCTCCCTGTGTGTTTACTTATAGGTTTGTAGGCTAATTCTAGGTTATACATGAATACATCCAGGATATTTGGTTTAGTTTTTTAAGGGTATGTGTTTTTTTCCCTTCCCCTCCCCAAATTATACCAACATCAAACACAGTGTTTAAATAGGGATGCAGGCTGACCCATTGTAACAAGGAAATGTACAAGACACTATGTTGAAAAATGAACTTTACAATTTAGGCAGGGGGTGGGTGGAGGGGTGGAAGTTGTGGAGGTAGGATGGAAGGGATGGTAGGGGAAAATCAAAGAAGAAAGCAACAATGATTGATAGGAAATGTAATCATTACCTTGCTCATGTAACTGTAACTCCTCTGTACGGTATTTTCACAATAAAAAACTTATTAAAAATGATTCTTAATAAATCTAGTGTAATTCAGTAATTTATCCATTCTCTACTCTTTTACACAAATTTAAAACAATAGTAAAATGAAAATACTTAAATAGCAAAGTGCATAAGGACCAGATTAAAACAGCTAACAGATTAATAGGCAACATATTTACATAAAGCAGGTCTAGGTACTTTGTTAAGCGAAAGGCTTACCATAGAGCTCCTAGAATAAAGAAAAATTCAATCACTTAAGTCAGAGGTTTTCCTTCCATCTTGGCTTTTTTACATTTCGTTTGTTTTGAGAGGCTTTTCTTTTCACGGTAGGATATTTCATAATACTCCTGTCTTGTATTTACCACATGCTACTGCTGATGAACAAAACAGTTTTCATATATTGCCATGGATCTTTCTGAGGGACGAAATTCCCGTTGATAGAATCATTGGTTAAAATTATTCACTGTATATGAAAGTAAATACAAATCACTTGTGTGCTTTTCCTTTAGAGTCTTGCTAGTAATTTACAGCTGTAATGGAAAATGTTGAATATCTAAAAACAAATTAATTTTTGTCTTAGGACATTTTCAGTATTAGTATTTATTATTCGTTAATGATGCTATTTTCAAGAACAATCTAGAAAAAGCTATCCTGGGCATGGTTTAAGGTATGGAAAGAAAGCAGTATGAAGTAACTTAATCATCCTGGTATTTGTACAGATTTGTCCAGAAGTTTAAAGATATCTATATAAAATTGTGAATGCTATAATTTTTAAAAGTTAGTTCTTGGTAAACATTTCTTTCAGTATAGATTTTGCTGACATTTTATTTGGCAGTGATTTCAAAATTCCATTCCCTGACATACCCAAGTAAAGCCATTCTTGGCTCCCAAATTATAGACTGCATGACTGGCTTATCACAGTGCTTGGCCAAGTAGTGAGTGGTTCACTGTTGGTCTGCAAAAACATATAAAAATCTAGACCTACCGGACATTTCCTTGAGGAGAAAAAGCTAAGTCTGAATTTTTCAGAAGGATAACTTTATTCAATATAATGACTTCTTCTTTTTTTAAATAAGTTATTTATTGTGAAAATACTGTATAGAGGGGTTACAGTTACATGAGCAAGGTAATGAGTACATTTCTTATCCAGCATTGTTGCCTTCTCCTTTGTTTATCCCCTCCCATCCCTTCCCTTCCACCTCCTCAACTACCACCCCCAACCCCACCTAAATTGTAAAGTTCATTTTTTGACATAGCATCTTGTGCATCTCATTGTTACAGTGGGTCAACCTGTATCCCTATTTAAACATTTTGTTTTTTCTCTTCCTTTCCCCAAATTATACCAACATCAAATAGAGTGAAAACAGGGGTTATACCATGGGGAAGGGACATTACAAAGCAACCAAAAAAAAATCACATGGTACCTTATAAATAACGTTAGAAACAATATCAAGGAAGAAAAAAACTACTTGTGTCCCTATCTTGGGGTTCATTTCGCTTAACATCATCTTATCTGATCTTTTCTGCTTGTTAAGACTTCTTACTTCATCATGTTTTTGTTATTGGCTTTCTATGTCCCCTTTCTCTATAAAAGTTAGTATAATGTATAGGAATGTCCTAAGTGATATTTTGAGTTAGGCATAGAATTGTCATTCTTTAATGCACATGAGCTGAAAATTTACATCTGAATAGAATACCTATTCATTTCCTTTATGTTATAAATTATGAAGCCAAGGTCAGGGCCGGTGTATTTTGCCAGAAAAAGTTTTTTTTTCTTTTTTTTCCAATTTTTTTTATTATGAAAATACCATACAGAGGCGTTACAATTACATGGACAAGAGAATGAGTACATTTCTTATCAAGCATTGCTGCTTCCTCCTTTATTTCCCCTTCCTATCCCTTTCCATATCCCGCCCTCCTCTCCTCCCCCACCGGTCAAAGTTGTAAAGTTCGTTTTCCACATAACGACTTGTACATCTCATTGTTGCAATGGGTCCACCTGTATCCCTATTTAAACAATTTGTTTTTCCCCTTCCCCTCCACAAATTATACCAACATCAAATACAGTGAAAGCAGGGGTTATATTGTGGGGGAGGGACATACAAAGCAACAAAGAAATCATCTTATAAATATGTTAGAAACAATCACATGAAAGTAAAAAACGTTTGAATACTTACCTTGGGGTTCATTTCACCTAACATCAACATATCTGGCCTTTTCTGCTTGTCTCAGACATATACTAGTTATTACAAATAAGGGAAACCATGGGGCCTATGTTTCTTTGGGCCTAGCTTACTTCACTTAATATAATTTTTTCCAAGCCTTTCCATTTCCTAACAAATGGGGTAATGTCATTCTTTCTGATGGAGGCATAGAATTCCATTGTGTATATATATATATACCACATTTTCTTGATCCGTTCATCTACTGAGGGGCATCTGGGTTGGTTCCATATTTTAGCTATGGTAAATAATGCTGCAATAAACATAGTTGTGCCAGTAGCTTTAGTATGGCCTTGTTTCTGATCATTTGGGTAAATGCCCAGAAGTGGGATTGCTGGGTTATAGGGAAGCTCAATGTGGAGTCTTTTGAGGAACCTCCATACTACTTTCCAAAGTGGTTGAACAAGTTTACACTCCAACAATGCAGTAAGGTTCCCTTCTGTCCACATCCCCTCCAGCATCTGTTGTTATTAAAGTTCTTGATTATAGCCATTCTAACTGGGGTCAGAAAAAGTTTTTATCAGTCCTATTGAAATAGACTTTCTAAAAGATTTGTGTCAGAGAATAGTAGGTTTTAATCATGTTTTGATTAGTATAATATATATCCTGTATACTCTTGCATCATTATTGTATGCATTTTACTTTATTTTTGGATGAGAGGTAAAATTGGATTTCATCAACATATCAACTTATCATTAGAGTCACCCCTTTTGCTGGTTAATTGGAGATAGAGTCTTAGGAGTTTGTCTCTCTGGGGCTGGTTTCAAAACCATCCATCATCAGGTCACATGCTCCTGAGTAGTTAGGATTAGAGACTAGAGCCACTGGCACCTTACTTTGTTGTTGTTGTTGCTGTTTATTTGTTTTGGGACAGTGTCATCAAGCCCATGCTGTCCTCAAACTGAAATCAGTTAGCATTCTGAGCGCTAGGATCACCAGTGTTTTCTACCGTGCTTGTCTGTAATTTAGGTGTTGTTGTTTTGTTTTGCTTCTTTGTTTTTGTGCTGGTGCTGGGGCCTGAGCACAGTTGCCTAATCTTTTTGCCCAAGGCCAGCACTTTTCCACTTGAGCCACATCTTCACTTCCGACTTTTTGGTGGTTAACTGGAAATAAGAGTCTCAGGAACTTTTATGTTCCAGCTGGCTTCAAACTGCAACCCTCAGATCTCAGCCTCTTGAGTATCCAGGTTTATAGTACCCAGTTTGTAACTCAATTTTAACTAAAATGAATCATTTCATTTAAACTATTTTTTAAAGTACATGTTGGAAATATTTTTAATTCAATCACAAATTAAGGGGATCACAATTAAAAAATAAATTCTGTTAAACTAGAGACCCAGATACTCTGATATTTGAATACTTCAGAGAATCCTAACTCACATGTAGACTATAAAGAAAAACTGCAATGAGGAGAATTCAGTATTTAGAAAATATGATAGATAATTCCTATAATCAAAAGTTATAAACTATGGGAGTAACATGTAGTGATCATTAATAATAAACCAATATATAATGTTTGTAATACTTAATATTTATGTACTTATTCATAATATATAATAGCAAACTGTTACAGAGAAACAGTAGGAAGTGTTAAGAAAACATGTTGTTAGAGAACCTACGGGAAACTAATTTTTAACAGTGACTTCAATGAGTTTATTTTTCTTTTTTTTTTTTCATTATTACTGTTTTTACAGAACTAAGTTCAGACAATCTCAGAACTTGCTTTAAGATCATCAATGGTTATATCTTTTTATCATCAACAGAATTCTTACAGGTATGTTGGACTTACTTTTGCATTGTAAGAAATTGTATGGTCATTATTTTGGTGTTTGTTTAAAATTAAGAGATGCCTTTTCAGAATTGTAGATTGATTTGTTATTTTGAAGTAGGGGATGGATTCTTACTGAGCACTCCTTACTCCTGGGAAGATGTGATCAGCATGCAGTTCCATTTTATTTAATGCAGAAAGTACTAAGTTTATAAATATATCTTTCCTTAAAAGCACAACTTACCAGCGAATTATTTTTGTTAGGTTCAGTCTTTTTGTTTAGCTTTTAACTATTACCAGAAATTCTAACTTAAACTATGTGTTTACACCTTTAATATCTGTCTGTCTATCTATCTATCTATCTATCTATCTATCTATCTATCTATATCTCACATAGATTATATGATACATCCAAAGTTAAGTTTTATCCTATCTTTATGTTATAGATTCTAATGTATATATTTGACTTTTGATTGAATTTCAGACATATGCAATAGGTCTTTGTCAGTCCTTTTGTGAACTCTTACAGGAAATTACTACAGAAGGTCAAGTTCAAGTGCTCAAGGTATTGTTATCTTTTTATCACCAACAGACCATAAAAGAATCATCTGTTAAATCTTTGAGGTTTGTTTGTTTTGTTTTGTAGAACTGGGCCTTCATATGGAGGTAGGAGGTTGGTAAAGAGAGGAGTTGATGTCGTAGTGGAGAGGATTTTCTTTTCTTTTTTCTTTCTTTCTTTTTTTTTGGCCTTCAGCTCTTGAGCTGAAGGCCAGCGCTTTATTGCTTGAGCCACAGCACCACTTCTGGTTTTCTGAGTGTTTTATTGGAGATAAGAGTCTCATGGACTCTCCTGCCCGAGCTGGTTTTGAACCATGATCCTCAGATCTCAGCCTCCTGAGTAGCTAGGATTACAGGTGTGAGCTACTGGCACCTGGCAGGATTTTCTTTTAATAATATTTGAATGGCTTAATACCTATGCAATGTAAGGTTCAATTTTGAATGTACATATACATTATCTGGAAATCTGATTTCTAAAACTAAATGATTAGGTTGCTCCTAGTCCTCATACCTCACTGTGTATCAGCTATTTAAAATCATTTTAACAAATGGCCCCAAAACTTCTTGCCTCTTCAATTTGTTAGTTTGCTTTGTGGATCAATTTTTAATTGTATAATTTTGTAGTTTTGATTATCAAATAAAGTTAGAGTTCCAAGTTTGTTGAGACTATATTTAATTTAGAACCTATTCACCTATAGTTTCATATATCTTTATTATGTCTGTATATTAAGGATAGAAATAGTAGTACATGTTTATTATAAATTCACATAGTGGATTGAAAGTCAGAAAATCTAATAGATTTTATTTTAAATAGTATATATCCAGTGGAAATGAAATTTTAGCATACTAATAGTTTATTTGTTATTCTCTGCTTGTACTTGCCTTGGTTTTTGAGCTGAGCTGTGCTGCCTCTAAAGCTCTTGAGTACATTCTGGACTTTAGTTCCCTCATTTATTATATAAGGAATTGTATTAAGTGGTGTGTGGGAGGGTGTGTTGTATATGTTTGTGTGTGCTCATATATATACACATGTGTGCTGGAACTGAGGCTTGAACTCAGGGCTTCAATTCTCCCTTTGCTTTTTCATTGATGGCTGGCTGTACTACTTGAGTCATGCCTCTACTTCTGACTTTTTGGACTCCAAGATTTGTCTACCTTAGCTGGCTTCAAACTATAATCCTCATTCTCAGCCTCAATCCCAGCCTGGTAGCTAGCTGGAATTATAGTCCTGAGCAGTTGGTACCTGGAACATTAAGTAATTTCTAACAATATGTTATGTAATATTTGAAGTCCTCTGCCATATTTAAACACTCTCTAAATTAGAATCAAGATCCTTTTTGTAACTATGACTAATATTTTTGAAAGATAGTTTATGAAATATTACAATTAAAACTTCCATCAAAAATGAGAAAGATGTTCTAAGAAGAATACATTTTTCTTCTTGCTACTTGTTTTTAATTATAGTCTCACAAAATGGGGGGAATACTAGCATATCAAGTAAGCCTATGAATTGATAGAGACTGCAGGTTAGAATATTAGCTACTTTATAGCTCTGTGAGGTGGACAAGTGTTCTTTCTCACTTTCCATTTGTAAAATGAGAATGTTACCATTACCTACTTCCTACATTTTAGCCTGTGTGTGTGTGTGTGTGTGTGTGTGTGTGTGTGTGTGTGTGTGTGTGTGTGTGTGTGTGTGTGTGTGTGTGTGTGTGTACGTGCGTGCATGCAGAGTCTGCCTTTGGGATGAAACATGCTAATATATATTTATACTAATTTATTTGGTTGGGAGATCTTTGTTTGTAGAAAAACTAAAGTAAATTGATCTAACTGACAGTTTTCCTAAATAAGAGCTTCTTTAAAATGAACAGTACATGCAGTTAGCTTTTAAAAATAAATGATTTATGCAATGGTAACATATTACTAAAAACTGTGTATCTCAACTGGCACTCTAAAATTAATTTTATGTATTTTTCACTTCTCAGAGTAGCACAATTAAAAATTATTAAAATAAATTTCAAAGTTAGATGTTAGATGTCCTTAATAATATAAGTAACAAAGGTCTATTTTGTTGAGATGCTGTTTCCTCACACCTGTAATCCTAGCTATTCAGTAGGCTGAGATATGAAGATCAAAGTTTGAAGCCAGCCTAGGCAGAAAAGTCTATGCCAACTGTTAATTTATATCTGGTTAAGTCTCATCGAAAAAAAACTGTAAGTGAGGTTTAACTCAAGTGGCAGAGAGAAAAGACCAAAACAGAAAGGTAGGCCTAGTTCAAAACCTCATGTTAAACAGCATAAACTGCAAGTGGAGGTATAACTCAAGTGGCAGAGAAAAAAGACCAAAACAGAAAGATAGGCCTAGTTCAAACCTCAGTACCAGTGTACACACACACGCACAAACACACGCACACACACACAGTGGTGCTTATCTCCCTCGGAGATCTTTTTTTTTTCTTGTAATTTTTTCTTGTAATTTTTTTTTCTTGTCAGTCGTGGGTCTTGAACTCAGGATTTAGGAACAGTCCCTGAGCTTTTCCCCTCAAGGCTACCACTCTACCACTTTGAGCCCAGCACCACTTCCGATTTTCTAGGGTTAATTGGAGATAAGGGTCTCATGGACTTTTCCTGTCCAGGCTGGTTTTGAACTGTGACCCTCAGATCTCAGCCTCCTGAGTAGCTGGGATAACAGGCATAAGCCACTGGTGCCTGACATTATTATTATTATTATAATATAGTTATATGAAGAGTTTTCAATTTAACATGTCGGTTTGTGAATACAATGTCCCTAACTTCGTTTGTGAAGTGATTCAGCATAGATCAGTCATAATCCAAATGTATGATAAAATATTTTTAGCATTTTTTAAAAAAAGTTGCAGAATAAGCCTTTTTCTCTTAAGTATACCACCAGCAGGTTATTAATATGATATATATATATATATGTATATATATACTTGAATTAAAAATTGAGAATCTGTCATTTAATGATGGCCCACACCTGTAATCCTAGCTACTCAGGAGGCTGAGATCTGAGGATTGCCACCATAAGCCCACCCAAGCAGGAAAGTCTGAAACTCTCATCTCTACCAATAAAGCTGCAAGTGGAGTTGTGGCTCAAGTGATAGAATGTTAGCTTTGAGCAAAAATACACAGAGACAGCACCCAGGTTCTGAGTTCAAGCCCCAGAACTGGCACACATAAAAAAATGGAGAGTCTGATAAATGTTTAAGATAACAAATTATATAAATATTCCTGTATCTGAATTTACATGTTTAGTTTGAAATCTCAGAAATTTGGTCTAACTAGTAAATAGGTAGATGTTGAATGATACTAGAAATATGGTAGTTATCATGAATAAATATTCTTGTGCTATTATTATAAAAGTATTTTAGAACAATGGTGTTTTTATCTTATGTCTGTATTTGAAGCTGAGAGTACTCAAAATTTTTAGTATTTTCTTGTTCTCAGAGCTCTAGTATAATTATAAGTGTTTAATATTAGTTCATTATTCTCATTAATGTCCCTCAGATACTGTTTCTTAATATAGTTAGCTACATAGCATTCTTAATATATTTTTGACTAAATGTCACCATTAAACTAATTTCTGACAGTACCTGCAAGTAACTTCTTTGTTATTTGAGGCAGAAAATTACAATTTTAGGAAAATTGGCTGGGAAGATCAGTATGTCTGCTTTGGGAGCAAATGATTTAGAGTAAAAAGGTGTAGAGTAAAAATAGGCTTTCTTCTGTGATTTGAAACAAATTAGATGAATACAATTATATTTCTAAAAATACTCTAAATTGTTAACATTAATTTGAAATGTGTCTATATGTATATACACATATTATTTTGAGTTATGAAATTCTTGTTCCTCTGATAGCTAGGATTACCGGAATGATAGAGCCCACTTCATATCCTATTACAGGTTGGCTGTTATGAATAGTGCTGCAGTTAATATTCAGGCATATTTCTTGGGCATGTTTTGGGCCTATTTTATATGTTGAGTTACAGTCCTTCAGATATTTGCCCAAGAGTGGTATAGCAGGGTTATGGGTTTTTAGTTTTTTGTGGAACTTGCATACTGATGTTTTTGGTGGTGTACTAGTTTACATAGACTAGTTATACAGTGAATTGTGTTCCTTTTTCCTTCCCTCCTCACCAGCTGAATTCAGTAATATGTTTTAGTTCAGTGTGTTCACACAGATGAGATCAGATATTCGTTAATTTTCTTAAAGGTACTATTCCAAAGCTACATTTGTTGTGGAAAATACTTGGGAAGAGGCAAGCAGCACTTGGAGAGTTGTAGAACTCAACGTTATTTAGGCTGGCATGCTCAGAGGACTTCCTACTCCAAAGTCTGAACCTCAACCAACAAGCACTTGGGTTCTGGGTTTTAGTTCTGAGTAGAGCAGAGATTTTGTGAGTTTCAGTTTATCCCACACAAGGTTACAGTTTCTTGAAAATTACTTCAAATTTAAGGGTCAAGCTAGTTCTGTGTGAGCCAGCTTGAACTAGTTCTGACAATGATAGGTTTTAGTTATCACATTGACTCTCCCCTCTGAGCTCTTTATTCTCCAAATATGCATGGCTTTTCTTAATGTTCTGAAGTGATACAATGTTACTTTAATGTAGCTTATTATAATTCATTATATATGACATTGATTGTCCTTTTTGGTTTTAGAAGCAGTCTCTTAGGCTGTATGAAAAATACATGAACATTCTTTTCTTGTAGGTAGAATCATTTGTTCAGATAAGTTTAGAAAATATTTGGCATTTTAGTTTCTTAGGTAGGTAGACTTGCAACCAATCTTATTTTACTGTTTTCTTTATTTTCAGAATTTAAGTTTTAGCTTCTCCTTTATACCTTTACAAAGGTGTAAAGGTAGATGGTTCTGCTAATTCCTGTCTTTTTTTTTCAGGAAGAGATATGAGGAGATTCATTGCTACCTTAGGATTCAGCTTTTTTTTTTTTTTTTTTTTTTTGACATATTGAATCAGTTCCCTTTTTAACTTCTTTTGTACTTCCATCTTTCATTCCCTGGTCTTTTAAAAATTGTATCTCCATGACCCCTAAAATCCATATATTATACTCTTTCTGGGATTTAAGGTGAGAGTGGAGTTAAATTTGTGTTTAGTAATCAGCAGATGACTGCTGACATTTATTTACCTTTGGGACTCAGTCTAGTAGCTTGTCTACCTATTGTCTATATTTATATATTTTCTTCTCAGTTCTGTTTTTTTTTTAATTGACCATCGAGGTTAGACTTAGTTTTGTTCTGACTCTTAAAGCTTCTTGCTATTAGTAAGCAATTGGCGTTTTTAAAAATCCCTATTTCTTAGTGGAAAGCACAGTGCTTAATAGTTTTTGGCTAAGGGACATTTCCTTTACTTCTTGCTTCAAGTTAGAGAAGTTGCTAACCAACCAGGTGTGCTGCTTTCTAGCTGGAAAGTGTTTCAAAATGCAGGAACATATCTTTTATTATCATAGTGTTTGGAACATGCTATTGTCCCATACTGAGCAGGCGAGATACTAAAAGCCTTTCAGCATGAAGAATGGTTGTGCACAGTAAACAGGATATCCTGAGACACACTGCTAAAATTCAGAAGGGAAATCCAGCTCTGATGGTATCTTTTATTTCCTACCCCTCAAATCATTCAGCTGGAAGCATTGATTACTTTGTCCTTGCTCTCCTTGCTGCTTTCTTCCATACTATGTACATAAATAAGACAAAAAGTGACAAAACAAATCTCACGACATTGAATTTCATGTTTGCTCATCTTAGTTATACAGGAGACGTCTCACCAATGTGAAAAGTAATTTCTCTTTCAAGTTTTGTTATGTAACCATAGATACATAAGGCTAGTTATATAATGATAATTATGATTTGCAATTTAATAAATGTATATATTTATTTTTAGACAGTGAACATTATGTTGTAATTTGCCTTTTAATTATTTAAAACAATGCTTTTAGCTGGATGCTGGTGATTCTTGCCTATAATCCTAGCTACTCAGTTGGCTGAGATCTGAGGTTTGCAGTTCAAAGCCAGCCTGGGCAGGAAAGTCCAGTAAGCCTATCTCCAGTTAAACAGCAAAAAGCTGAATTGGAGCTGTGGCTGAAGTGGTAGAGTGCTAGTAGCCTTGAGTGAAAAAGCTCAGGGGCAGTGCCCAAACTCTGAGTTTAAACCTCAATACAGACAAACACACACACACACACACACACACGCACGCACTCACGCACACACACACACACGCACACACGCACACACACACGCACGCACACACAAAATCCTTTTGCTGCTTCTGTTAGCATAACATTTTCTACGGATTATTTGTTTATGGTACAAGGATCAGAATTACATTAATTGCATATTACATGTTATCAGAGTGTGATTAAATATAATTTTCTGCAAATGTTCTCAAATTGCAGTTTTTATAGATCATTTTTTAAAAGTGTATCTAGTGTTAGTATTCTCTATACCTTATATACCTGCAAGTGTTTTCATTTGGTGTATGATATTTAATTTAGTTCACTGATTTTTGTTTTCTTTGTGTTTTCTATGAAGCAATGACTTGCTTGTTTAATATTATCAATGTCTTTCTGGTTTTTAGGTTGTGGAAAATGCCCTTAAAGTGAATCCAGTATTAGGTCCCCAAATGTTTCAACCAATTCTACCCTGTGTTTTCAGAGGTATTATAGAAGGGGAGGTAAGACTTTTTTTGTAATTCTGTAGGCTCCTATTGTTCTCATTTTTAATTATTTATCATTGCCAGAGAGACTATCCATCTTTAATTGATAAATGTAAAAGGAAACCTATTATCATTTGGATCCTATTGTATTAAGTAAATTTCAGGATGGTTATGTAAACTTGCCTTTTTTTTCCCCTTACACAGAAAAATATAAATTTCTTTTTGATATCTCATGCTTTTTACTCACATGCATGTGTATTTACGTACTTCTGGTTTGAAGTAGAAAAATGTTTAATAATTTAATTCCAATAACTCACTGTTGAGAATATGAGTGGGAGATGTAGTATTTTTGTAGATTGAATGTATGAAACTGTTGGCACACTTTTTTTTGTTTGTTTGTTTTTCTGACACTATAGTGAACTTGCTGCTTGTTAATTTTTCAATGTGCCCACTTGAGCCACTCCCATAAGCCTGATCACTGGTTGTTTTGCAGTCCATCTGCTCTTAAGATTTATCTAATTGTATAGAGGAGTAGCCAGAATAAAACAAGCATGCCATTGATACATAGTACTTCTTTTCTGCTTATTACATATATAACATAAAATTCGTGTAAATACATACACATATAATGCATGTATCACTTGTACATAGTTAACATTTGCTTAGAACTCAGGTAATATTGATGAATCAGCCTAAGGAGAAGCTACATGAATGAGAATGTTGTTTTATATTTCTGTTAATACTTTATTAGTGGTTTGTTCGTTCTTGCACCTTGACACAGTTTTACATGTAGTATGTTTTAATTGTACAGAGATATCCTGTAGTGATGTCCACATATCTTGGAGTTATGGGTCGTGTCTTACTACAAAATACTAGTTTCTTTTCTTCACTTCTTAATGAGATGGCACATAAGTTTAATCAGGAGGTAAGAACCCATATTTCCTTAAATTCAGGAAATATTTATTTAAATATAAATTTGAAAAAGTATATAAGCTGGAAATAGTTGATGAAATACTCAAGTTCTTTTGAGGCATTTGAATAATTAATAATTTAAGTTGTACCTATTATTGAGAATAGAAGAAAGGAAGAGAAATCTAAATCACAGTAGAAAGTTTCACATTTTGTTCCTATTCAAAATAGGTATTATTATTTTGCCTAACCATAAAATGGGATTTTTAATTGTTTTTTGGTTACAGTTTTTTTAACTACTAAATTATGTGAGACAGGAATAGGAATTTCTCTCCCCCCTTTCTCTCTCTCTCTCTCTCACTCGCTCTCTCGCACTCTCTTCTCTCTCGCTCTCGCTCTCTCTCTCTCTCCTCTCCTCTCTCTTTCTTTGAATGTGGGGCTTGAATTCAGGACCTGGACTGTCCCTGAGCTCTGTTGATCAAGGCTACTGCTTTGAGCCACATCACCACCGGGCTGGCTTTGAACAGTGATCCTGAGATCTCAGCCTTCTGAGTAGCTAGGATTACCGACATGAGATGCTCGTGCCAGCTTAGGAATTCTTTTGAATATATTTGTAATTTTTTTTCTCCTCTTCTTTCCTCTTTCCTTTTTCCATTTTCCTTCCCTTTTCTTTGTTGTGACAAGGTCTCATTGTAGTCTAGATTGTCTTTGAAGCTCTGAAGCTGGTCTCAAACTCTCAAGCTTCATTGCTTCCTTCTCCAGAGTGGTGGGATTACGGGTATGATGGGTTTCTTTCTTCCTCTTCTTTGTCTTTCTCCTCCTCATCTTTCTCCTACCCTTTTCTCCTCCCTCTTTTTCCTTCTTTCTCCCTCTTTACTCTTCCTTCCTCCTCCTTTCTCCTTCTTCTTGCCAGTACTAGGGAGTAAACTTAAAGCCTCATGGCTAGTTTAAAACTTTATAGCTTGAACCATACTTCATACTTCTAGGCCAGCTTTTTTGCTGATGAACTGGAGATGGAGCCTCATGGACTTTTCTTCCCAGGGTTGGCTTTGCACTGGAAACTCAGATCTCCTGAGTTGGTAGGATTCCAGGTGTGAACCACCCAGGCCTAGCTTCTTCATTCTTTTAATGAATTTGTTTCAATGCCATTTATTGTATTTCTAATTATTATGCAAAGTGATGATAAAATAAAAATACTGTAGCTGACACCAACTACTAGAGTTAAGTTTGGAATAGGTTCTTAATTATTTTAATCTAGTTACTGGAGACTAGATAAAGTACATGATATTCAAGTAATACTTCCATATTTTTAGTTATTAATCTGTTAAGATTTTTAAGATATAGAAGACAAAATGTATTTGGTATTTCTAGAATAAAGATATTTATACACTATTTATGACAGAAACAAATATAACTAGAGAAAAGTACAAATTTTACAGTGTATATTGTTTTTTAAGAACTAGACTTACCAAAGTAGTTACACTATCCTTTGTTTTAATGAATATCTAAGAAAATTTTTTTCTTCCTTTTTTTCTTTTTTTCTTTTGTACCTGTACTGGGACTTGAACTCAGACTGTAGTTGAGCACTTTTTTTTCACACATTGCTGGCTCTGTACCACTTAGATCTCAGCCTCCTGAGTCACTAGGATTACAGGCCTTAGCCACTGGTGTCCCAAGATTGATAGTTTCAACTGGAATGGGTTAATGTTAAATAATTAAGACAGTTACTCAGTTGAGTTCAGTGATTTTTTTGCATGAATCTAATAATAACAATATAGCAATAATATAAATTTTAAACATTGCACATATTTAAAAAATCTACAGCTCATTGATTTTTAACATCTATAATTCACAGAGACAATAGTATTTTTCATTCCTATCTCACCTGTGAGAAATCTGGGATTTGGTCATTTGCTCAAGTTCATACAGCTGCTAAATAATGAAGATTATACACAAATCCTAGCATCTTAATTTTAGAACCTGACACTGCTTCTTCCCACCTAGCATAGAACTATGAAGTTTCCTATTAGCTACTGGCAACACTTGATTTCACAAGCTGTTAAGAGTGAAAGTACTTAGCACACAAGCCTTGAGTTCAGGCCACAGGACTGGCAAAATAAAAATGAAGTGAAAGTACTGAAAAGACAATTTCATAATAGTAAAAATTTGTCTAGTGTGCTATGGGAACAGAAAGAAAAGCAGTTTATTACACTAATGAGATGTTTTTAATTTGGAAAACTTAAAAGTACCACGTAGATCTGTGTCAGCACTTGATCGTCAGGTTAAATCTGAATGTGTCAATGAAAGGTTAAATGATTTGAATATAACATAACTATGGATATTACCCTTCTGGTTGTGTTAGCTTTAAAATATTCTGTAATAAGGTGTTAAACTTCTTTGGGGGCAGTTTTCATAGCCTAACTTTATCATATAATTAAAAGTAAAATCAAGTGCTATTTTATTCACTCTTTGATAGTTTTGAAGACTAACATTCTTACTACAGAAACAACCTACTACCTACTACCTTTGCCTACAATATCCATTCCGTTATTTTTTTCTTCCCTTGCTCTTTTGTTCTTTCCTTGGTTTTGTTTGTAATTTTTTTATTGTGGCTTGTGGATTTTTTTAAAATAAAGATTGAGAATGTTTAATATTCTGAAGTTTAGATTCATTTAAATGTCTAACCCATTCTAAAATGTCATGGTACCAAGGACTCTTGTCCTACTACTGAATTTTCTCCTCCCTCACATCCCATTCAAACCCTGACCGTATGTTAGGTTTCTTTATTGTATTACCTAACTGACTTTCTGTCCATGATATAAACTCCAGGATGGTCATCAGCCTTCTCTTAATTTAATTAGGAACAGAGCCTCAGCTTTTCCTTTCTTATTGACAATTCCATTTTTGTTTGTTTTGTTTTGTTTGTGATACTAAGAATTTGAACTTAGGTTGGTGCTCTACCACTTGGTTATACCTGCAAATGTTTTTGTTGTATGATTTTTCAAATAGCCAAACCAATAATAAATGTACGACCTACATAGTCTTCCTACTTGTGTAGCTTGGTTGATAGGTGCCTGGCTTTTCATTGGTTTAAATGGAGTTTGATGAACTTTTTTTTGCCCAGGCTGGCCTTGAATACTGATTCTCCCACTATCTCTCTCCTGAGTTGCTAGGATTAGAATGTTAAGCCTTTGTGCCAAGTTCACAAATCAGTTGTTTTTTTTTTTCAGGGAATCAATAAGTCAGAGAAATAATTTTATTCTTCCACTTGCCATATTTTTTTTCACCCTTTTTCCAGTATTATATTCTTTTACTATTCACAGTGCATAGGGCTGGTACTTAGAATATATTAACTTCCCAACTGCTGTGCTATTTTTCTGGGTTAGACATTTGGTGTAATTTGTATCTTTGCCCTGTTCTCAATGTCTCCAGTTAGAGCTACTGTGATTTCATTTTCTAGATATTGTATATTTGGCTATCTTCAGAAGTGGAGAAGACCAAGAAGTTCTAGTTAATCCTTTTAACCTGTTCTGTTCTGAGCTCTGTATATAGGCCATTTCCTCTGCCTCCCAACCCCTCATTTTTTCTTTAGGTGATTCTTCTTGTTTTTTTTTTTTTGGGTCCAGTCGTGGGGCCTGAACTCTGGGCCTGGGCGCTGCCCCTCAGCTCTTCAGCTCAAGGCTAGCACTCTACCACTTGAGCCACAGCGTCACTTCTGGCTTTTATTTTCTGCTTAAGTGGTGCTGAGGAATTGAATTCAGGGCCTCAGGCATGCAAGGCAAGCGCTCTACCACTGAGCCACCTTCCCAGCCCTCTTCAGGTGATTCTTAAACTCTTAAGTTCTAATTTAAAAGTTGCATTTATTCTTCGGGAACTTTTGCCCCAGTCTTTTGACCTTTAGATTTTCTCTTGCATTCTCTATAATATTGGAACTATATCATCCAGGATGAGAATTGAGAGAGGCAGGAGATGAGATACTAAAAGTGAGCATTTCCTTAATTTTTTCCCTATGCTCCTCATTTAGGCTGATTGTTTTTATTTCAACCAAAAATGTTAATATAGCTTGATTTATTTCACATTTTAATGATATAACTTGATACTTCCTTTTATTTTGTTTTGTTTTGATTTTTGGTCCTGGTGCTTAAACTCAGAGCTGAATGCTGTCCCTGAGCTCTTTTTGCTGAAGGCTAGTGCTCTGCCACTGAGCTGCAGCTTAGCTTCCAGCTTTTTCTGGATTGTTTATTAGAGATAAGGGTCTCACAGACTTTCCTGCCTGGGCTGGCTTAGAACTGCGATCCTCAGATCTCATTCTCTTGAGAAGCTACGATTACAGGCATGAGCCACCGCACTTGGCATTACTTGCATTTATAATAGTGTGTTCCTGAATCTTTCTTATTATTTATAAATCATCTATACCAATTTTTTCCACATTAAATTTGAATGGAAAGCACAGTGGTATAAATGACAGCAAACTATACTGATTCATGGTATGTTTAGTGTCCTATACCTAGGCAGAAAAACAAAAGAAGAACAAAAAAAACCAACAACAAATAGTTCTATTTATTAGGTAGTTATGTGTGCATAACTTAATATACTTTCATGCCCTGATATGTTAGTAGCTATTGAAATAATATTCAGAAAATTTTATTTCATTCTTAAATTACAACTATCAGCTACTAATGAAATATGTGTTTGGCAGGACTCAGATTCTCAAACCTTGAAATCAGATTGGTTGTGCTTTTTTCATAGTAGTTGCAAGTATTCTACTTTGACAGGATTCAAGTTTATTCATCCTTATTAACCAAATCCTTGAATATCCTTCCACCCCTGATTGGTCAACAGTTTTCATTGTTGATTGGTAATTTATTACATGAAATTACCTGCATACAGGTTTTGAATATTTTTTTATTTTCCTTTTTTCATGATTAGTTAGGGTCTGTTTCTGATTTGGGCTAAATTATTTCTTGTCCAGCTCAAGACCTATCCCAAATTCAGCTATTCATTTCTATGGTTTGTTGTAGTTAACTTTAACTTTGACTTAGGAGGTTTTAACCTTTGACATGAGAAAATCAAATTTCAAGGGTTTGGAGATGCCTTCTTCCCTTTTTTCAGATGGATCAGCTTCTAGGAAACATGATTGAAATGTGGGTTGATCGAATGGACAACATTACCCAGCCTGAAAGAAGAAAACTTTCAGCTTTGGCTTTGCTTTCCCTTCTGCCATCTGATAATAGGTGAGGAAATGCTTCCTTAAAATTAGTTTCTATAAAGCATCAAAATGTCAGTACAACTTTTAGCTATCAGTAATGCTGTGTGTGGTTATGGACCACTTTTGTATATGTGAATGCTAATTTTGTTGATAGATAATAATATGATATAACTTATAAAGTTAATGGCATACTTACTCTTTAGTGATATAGGCTGTAGTTTAACTTGTTTATATTTTCAACTTATTTTTATCTGAATTCCCATATTTTATACTGACCAGGTTTAATCATTTTAGGATCTTTTTTACATATAATACTTTATATTCAGTAACGCTTCCTAACTATATAAAATATGATGATCCAAACATTGGTTAAATAATTATTTTACCTTTTAATTTGCCAATAAAACGGCTTGAATTTCTTTTTCTATATAGATGAAGTCATTGTGCTATACATACTTGATTAAAATGTTCATTTCCGTTAGAAATACAAAATGTTTTGATTCTGACATTTAAAGAATGACTATTTCTTTTCATTTTTATTACATGTTTTTACATTATGTATTTAATTTTTTTGTACTTTCAGCAATTTGACTTGATAGGAGTTTTCATCTACTTTGTGTAGATTTTTGAAAGTTGTGATGGATGATAATTATATGAAGGTTGTTTAGTGAATTTTCACCTCTTTACATTTTTTGAATAAGTCATCTTGGGATATTGTATGAAACATTTCTTTTTAAAAACATGTTCTCCTTTTTTGGCTCAGTGAGCTTCATTTTTATCAATGTACACATCTGGATTTCCCTGTCCTATTCATTGTAGATTTCCCGATTTATTTTAAAAATATTTATATATTTGTTTGTTTGTTTATTTATTTAATGCCGTTCTAAGTCTTGAACTCCAGGTCCTGAGGCTATCTCTTAGTTTTTGTGTTCAAGGCTAGTGTTCTACCACTTGAACCAAAGCTCCACTTCCTGCTTTTTGATTGTTACTTGGAGATAAGTTTCACAGACTTTTCCTGCCCAGGCTAGCTTCAAACCTCGGTCTTCAGATCTCAGCCTCCTAATTAGCTTGGATTACAGTTGTGAGCCACTAGCACCTGGCTCTTTTTTTTAAAAAAATACTTTTTGGTAATACAAACAAAAATATACAAATAAATGGTGTTCCATGTAATGTTTCAGTACATACAGTTTGCTATAGTCTATTGTGATCATGCTACTGTGTATTACTACCCTAGAGTTTCTTACTGTTATCTAGCCGTAACTTAGTACCTATTGGTCAACATTTTCATCCTGTTTCTCTCCTACAGTCTTACACCTCTGGTAACTGTCATTCTGCTTTGAATGTTTGTGAGATCAGCTTTTTTTTTTTTTAAAATGTACTTCACCTGTGAGTGAGATCATGTCTTAATGTGCCTGGCTTATTTCACTTTAAAGTAATTATCCAGATTTCTTTGAGTAACCAACGAGCATGCTTCTTGAAGCCTATTCTATGTTTGCATTTATGAATATTAATAGTGTATTCAATTGATGACATGACTTTTTTCTTTGATGTCCTTATTTGTAGGAGCCATTCTTCCAGACCTCTATTTTTTGTTTTTTTACTTGACCCAAAAGCACCCGAGACTGATATTGTGTGAAAATATAGTACATCAGATCTTTAAATCTTAGGAAAACTTTAGAACATACATTTTTTTAGTGATATATTAGTGGTATATATCCAGTTTTATTTAGAAATTATATTTTCCCATCCCCACTCACAAGTTGTAAGGTTCATTTTCAACAGTGTCTAGTAAGACTGACACCTCCCCCCCCCCCAAAAAACAACAACAACAACAACAACTATATGCTAAGATGAAGAATTCAGTCACATTCCCACCAAGAGTGCATTAGCATTCCCTTTTGGCCACATCCCGCCAGCATCAGTTATTATTATTTTTCTTGTTAATGGCCATTCTAAATGGGGGAAGTAGAATCTCAATGTCGTTTTGATTTGCATTTCTTTTATGGCTTGAGAAGTAGAGCATTTTTTCATGCGTCTATTGACCATTCTTATTTCCTCTTCAGAGAAGGAGTGGTTGTTTCTTTGAGGATTTGTTTTTTTGGAGGGGGTTAATTTTTTGAGCTCTAAGTACATTGTAGATATAAGGCCTTTGTCTGTTATATGGCTAGTGAAGATCTTCTCCCAATCTGTGGGCTTTCTATTTATCTTACTAGCTAGGTCCTTTGCCCTGCAGAAGCTCAGCAGTTTCATGCAATCCCATTTGTCCAACCTTTCTTTGATTTGTTGTGTTTCTGGGTCTTTATAAAAAAGTTTCAACCTGTGCCAAGGAGCCCTAGTGTTTCCCCTATTCCTGTAATACTTTCAGGGTATCTGATCTCAAATTGAGTTTTTTAATCCATTTGGAATTGATTCTATTACAGGGTGAGTTATAAAAAGATCTAACTTTAGTTTGCTACCAATTCTGCCAGCTCCATTTGTTAAAGAATAGAGTTTGAAGTTTGGTATTGTTATTCCTCCAGCACTATTCTTCCTGCTAAGAATTATTTTTACTATTTGGTGGTCTTCTATTCAATATGAATTTTTGTATTGCTTTTTCTGTTTCATTGAAGAATGTTGTTGGGATATTGATGGGTATTACAATGAATTTGCAGATAGCTTTGGCAGTGTTGCCATTTTCATGATGTTAATCTTCCCAACCCAGGAGCATGGGAGGTTTTTTCACTCCTTAAGTCTGCTTTACTTTCCTTTTTCAGCTTTTTAAAGTTTTCATTATAGAGGTCTTTCACATCTTTGGTTAATTTCTAGAGTTTTTTTGTTTGTTTGTTTGAGACTACTACAAAAGGAATTGCTTTCCTGATTTCAGCCTCACTCTTCTCATTGTGGGTTAATTTTATATCTTTTGTGGATTAATTTTATATCTTGCTACTTTGACAAAGTAAGGTTAATAGGAACATATTTTTTATAGGATTGTTGTTAATATTGAGATATAGTTCATTCTAAGAAATCAGTGGATGTTAGATTGCTTTTTATACTTCATGTTAAAACTTCAGTAAATGTTTATTGCTTTTATTAATGGTGTAGGCCACTACTAGCATTGATATTTACTTTATTCTCTACTATAGGAAGGAAAATTGTGGAAAAGAGTTTTTGAAAAAAATCAATGTGTTCTACCAAAGGAAGCTTGTTCTTCAGTTAGTACACTGGGTTTATTATTATTAGTAGTAGTAGTAGTAGTAGTAGTAGACTTGTTCTGCTGCATAGCAATGTCATTTTTGTTGGGGCATTTGAATACTCTGTACACATAGTAACAAATAGAATCAGTTTCTCGGAATTTAGAAGTTATGAAGTTAGTAAGTATTGTTTTGTTTGGTGGGAGCTGAATTTCTAGTATGTTACTAGTTTTACTATGCTATTAAATTTGTCAGTTATGGCAGCTTGTACATAGACACGTTAGTTATTTCCCTTCTGTGATCGTTTTGTTTAATTTTCACATAAAGGTCATTGTTCGTAAAGAATGTTATATAAAAGTCATATTCATAAGCAGTGCTAGATACTCGTTTTAGGAAAAGTCAAAAGACATTCTACAGTAGTATACAAAGCTACCTTTACAGATCTAGGTCCTAGTCATCTTAAGTTGAAATATCCTCTGCCTCATTTTCTTAGTTAGAAAAGAATAGTAAGCAAACACGTATGCACACACACAAACACACACACAGAGTAAAATAAATGAAGGGCTTTTTTACTCTCCTAAACCTTTAGCCTTTGTCAGTAATTTAGTGGCAACTCAAAGCATATACCTTTATGTACTAAAGCACTCAGTATCTTCTCTTTTTAAAAAATATTTGAAAATTTAAAAGAATATAGACAATGTAACAATTTTTGTATTCATTATTCTATATTGTTGATTTTTACCTGTTTAAAAAGGAATAAAGTAACCCAAATTTTATATATTGAAAATAATTTTTAATTCATATTACCTTACTTGTTTCTAATTTCAGCTTGCTTTTTTCCACTCAGCAGTCATACGTTATTGATAGTTAGGGCCTTGATATTTAAGTTTTCAAATACAGTTGAAACCTTTTTTCTTATTTTTAAATTGTGGGAGGTATTTAAGTATATGTGTTAGGGAAACCGAATGCATTCTGAAAAACAAGTTCTTGAGATTTCCTTTCAACAGTGCTTTTGAAACACAGATAAAATTACTTCCTGTCTCTCAGTTTCCTGTTTCTATGGCAACCTCTATTTTGTACACTGACTACAGAGGAACCAATGTGAAGAGTGGCGTTTCCTGAGCAAATTGTGACTTTAAAAAAAAGGTGGGGGGCTGGCAGTCAGCAGTGGCACAGAAAGAAATGGAGTTTAGAAATATCGCTCTTCAGATTTAAAAAGGAAACCTTTATTTGAATCAACGAGTATTGATATGAATTTTCTGTTCTTGGTAAGATTATTGTTTAAAAATAGACTGCTAGCTGGAGTGAAAATGTGGTTGATTTTTTAAAAAGATATGGTTTACAAAGAGTGTTTAATCTGTAAATGTGTTCGTATTTTCATGAAGTATACTGTTATTTGATATTGGACTTTAGATTTATAAAAGGACATACATCCACAGATTATCATCTATATGTTATTTGTCACCTTTGTTACAATTAATTGCAGTAGTTTAATTTACAGTTTATTAAGTTTCAATTATTTTGTCAAAATGTGTTTATGGGCTGGAGGTGTTTTATAACATTAATTTTAAGAACTTTCTGATGATTTACAGTTTAATCTTCTCTTATTCTAGCTAATTCTGATATGAACAGAGAAAAATAAGAACATGGCTGTGTTAAGTACAGTTTTCTTTGACTGCCTCCAACTGTTTCTACTGATTATTTGTTATCTTTTATTATTATCTCATAAGGAGATATTTGGATGTTTTTGTCAGTTTGCCACTTCTGTACTAGAAGGCAACTCCTGTAACAGGCTTTTCATATTTTCCTGAAAGTAGTTTTCTCTATCTGATTGGAAATAATAATATTTCGTACA